TTTCAGGAAACAAACTTTTTTTCCGATATCATAACCTTGCTCACCATCTTTGAAGTACATTTGTTATTTACAATATGTTATATCAACATACCGGTCTTGTGATTATTAGCATAAACAAATAAAGTTAAATTAGGAAGGGGTTAGGGTAATTTCCACGGAATGTAAAGTTGCGCATGGCGAGTGAAAACGCACCCTGTGAGACATCGAACTAATGTATAACCTAGTTGTTACGTTTTTCTGTCCTTATTATGTTCGTTACTATTAACTATGAAATAATTTGTATATTTTGAACAAGTAATTTATCATGAGTCTGATATATATCTATGGACTTATCAGTGTGTCAAAACAGTGCAAGACATTTCTTTATGCCAAGTATCAAAGTCGACGCACATGTTTTTGTTATTGTTATTAGTTTTTTAAGCAAAGAAATTGTATAATCATTTTTAAAATGCATGTGCAGACAATATTTAAATAAAAGAAAATGTAAAGTACAAATATATTTATTGGTTTTAACTCAAAAATACCCATTCATACATGTATGTAACTTTCACAGAACAGAAAAAAAGTGTTTTGAAATAAATTGTTGGGTGTGTTTTTCATATGCCTTAACGTGTGACGATGCAAGTTATAGCTCTACAAACTTTGTTTCAAACTGTGTAAATTCAATGAAACCGGTGTATTCATATTTACATGGTTTAAATGTAAGGAGAAGATATTGGTTATATATTGATATGATGCTTATTTATTGATGATTACGGTCGTCTATTCATTTCCTATTTCTAAATATTTCAAGTAATAGAAATACCAGCATAAAGTGCTTTAAAAGGTCGGTTAAAACGTTTGAAAAGAATTTTGGGCGAAGCTTAAATGTGCCTTAACCCATTACTTAATGAGCATTTTGTGAAAAATGGCTGTTTTCATTGAAAAGTCTCCCGTTACAAGTTCAAATTGCTATAATACTATAAAAACTGCTTCAACACTAATCAAACTTGGCACAAATGTTGACTGGACCATTGCCCTTGCAACAACATGCTCAGGCTTAAATTTTCTGTTACCATGGCAACGAGGGGACATCTCAAAATTGCCAAAAATCACTATTTTGTGTTGATTTTTTCCATCAAAATTGATTTCAAAGTGCTGCAACTTCTCAATGGATTGAGATAGAGTCAAATGCTTTTCAGCGTTGGTTACACGTTACCTTATGATCAATCTGGGGTCATTTACAGCCTCTCACAAGTCCAAAATTTTCTTGGCGATGAGGGGGACTCCGCCCCCCTTCAAACCCCGCCAAACAGAAGGGGGCACATCCCCCTTCTGGCAACCCCCTGATGTATCTTTTGGTTGGGGGGCCGCGCCGAAAAAGAGGTCACTTTTTTTAACAACATTTCTCAAACAAAAACAAGTGTTTGGGGCCTAAATAAGGCATTTTTTCATCATTTGAGACAACAAAAAAGGGGGGTGGTGAAAAAGGCGTTAAAAGGCGTGTATATGAAGTAATGGGTTAACGTATTCATTACGTAAACAAATAAGTATTTTGAATTTCAATATTATTTTAGGTCCATGTCAACACAATTTTACAATTATATCATTAATTCATAAGATGCAAAATTATATTTTAATATACAATAATAATGCTTGTTGCACGCAATCCCTTGGTGCAAATTTCTTTTATAATACAATAAGACAAAAATGTTATGATTTACAAAGGGAAGTTACTGTAACTAATAAATTAAGAATTTTATACAAAGAGTTACCTCCAGTTTTATTGATTTGAGTTTCTAAAATCGATTAGAAGTTATATTAAAAATCAAATAGCGATTGATGTTATCCTCTACAAAATACTGGAATGTATGATTCCATTGAATTTTCTTACGAAGACAACTGCTCCAAACGTCTGAACTAGACAATCAAGTATGTTGAATGATTTAAAGTAATAATTATATAATGACCATTCAAGTGTAAATGGCGAATGTACCGGTAATAGTCAGAATAATTTTCGACTTTGTCCTGTATTTTTTCAGTTTTTTATTTAAGTTTGCATGAGTAATCAATAACTCACGTGACAACACAATTTTTTTTTATATCCATCAAAATATATCGGTAATTTTCAAATGAGAAAAAGGTTGGTGCAGTCTAAATATAGGGAACTTTTTCATTTGCTCTTAAAAATCAAATATCATTTATTGTTTATTAATCACAAATATAATTATTAATCTATTTAGATACATGTATATAGCTAATTCAGCACATTTTCATAAATAAATTGTTAGAAAAGTGTTTTTCAATTACTATTTTATTCAATAACAAGGATAACAAAATTTAAAGTATAGTATATTTAGTAAATATAGATCATTCTTGTATTTTGATGCTCAATAGTCTATTTCAAATGCTGAATAATTAGTGAAGAGAATAATTTTCTTTTTTCGAAAATTTTTAGATTATGACATAAGTTTTTATTCAATTTATAACATCTGTTGTAGAATCAAAATTTATTGTTTGATGTCTTGCAATATCTTGCCCACATAGTGAATAAATATAATCTGTCAAACACAATTGTTACCAGCAATGTAATGCAGACTGATAATAACAGGCTGTGATATCGACGAAATGAAAATCTTAAATACTTCTGGGATTTCAAAGGAAATTAATCATAAAATCTGGACATACTTAATGTCATAACACAGACCTGCGTAGAGTCAGGTAATCTTTTTCTTCTTATAGAATATATATTTATGATCTGTCATGATAATGAGATTCTCAATGATTGGTAAAGACTGATATTTGTGTCTTTCAATTTACAGACATTAAGAGTGCTATCCTTAATACGTTGGGTATTGCTTCAGAAAACATAAAGGGACAAGGATATTTTTGTCAGTGTTTCAAAATAAACATTTTTCTGTTATCATTCATTGTGATGTATATTCTATTTAGCTGATATTATCTCGGTACTTTGCAACACTCTGTATCGTTATATCCTCATCAAACAAGATTATTACCTCGATCTGATCATAAATGATCACAGATGATTACAGATTCAGAATAACATTATGAATGTTATTATAGTTTTTGCTGATAACATCCAACAAATGAAACAGAGAACGATAGATACATCTTATTAAATAATTATTTTACTTGTCCAAACACCGAATGCCTGTTATCTTACATATCTTTGCCATGGAATACTATTTTGACACATTAATGTGACGTGACAGGAAATGTAAATGAGTTATTGCGCATGCTGTACTTTGCCCAAACGCATTGCATGACGACCAACATTTATTTCCTTTTAATAATATGATTGTTTAGTTTTGCTTTTATCTATGTTTATACAGTAAAATCAAATATCCGATTACAAACTGTGTACGAAAGGCAAATACATGAGCGATGAAATATTAATTATGAAAATAGAAGAAAATAACAAAAACATCAGAAATATGAACGAAAACTAAAATTGCCCAAACGCATTGCATGATGATCAACATTCTTATGATTGTAATAATATGATAATGCATGTAAAGTCGATTATGCTTTTATTTCTGTTTAAACAAGTATACAAAAATCACATACATGAGCGATTTAATATAAATTATGAAAATAGATGAAAAGAAAAACAGAATCAGTCAGAAACATGAACAAAATAACAAAAAGGATATTCAAATAAAAATGATAAATCAAGACGAAATCATGCAATTTTGATGTCTAATATATCATGAAAACATGGTGTGATAATAATTGATAATGAGTTATCCGAGAACGTTATCATATTTAAGATCATTTAGTAAACAAACATGTCAAAAATACTTGAAAGACGAGACTAGGGCATTTTGCCTCACAGTTAACAAGAGTAAATGCCTATGACATAAAAATTCATGCAAATGGACATTTAAATATATACATATTATTAACTGAGCATCATGATATATCACAAAGGCATGTGACGGGTTAATGTACTTTGCTTTAAAAATTTAAATAAGGTGTTAGTTGTCTTTAAAGACAGTTTGTAGTTGTCGTTAAGTTCATTTGAGGTCGATGTTATTTGTTTAAAATGTTACTATTGACAAAGGAGAACATATTCTTTAAACTAATTAAAAGTAGAAAATATTCTGAAAGTTTTTGACTTGAAGTTAACACTGTCCTCTTTCCATATGGCTATTAATTCAATATATCTGTAATCCGCAAAATAATTATTAACATATCCATCGAGTACCAAAAAAGGGAAAATATAAAACGATCTGATAAAACAGCTACGGAATGATAGTGTCATAAGCTTTTGTACATCTAAGCAAAGTACAGTTACAGAGTAAATCGCCTCTCTGAAAGTAGGCGTGGTTTAGGTTTTGTATATTCTTCCTAATGTTGCAGGGAAGTGAAATTGATCATAGTCGTCCTAGTTCACTACCCTCTGTCAACGAAGACTAAATGCTAGCAAACTGATAATAACACGATGTGATATCGACGAAAGAAATGAAAATCTTTAATACGTCTGGGATTTCAAAGGAAATAAATTTCATAAAATCTGGACATACTCTTTGTCATAACACAGACCTGTGAAAAGTTTTGTAATCATTCCCTCCTTATAGAATATATATTTATGATCTGAAATGGAATTGGATTCCCAATGATTGAATGAAGACTATACAGGACATACTGATTATTGTCACTTTCAATTTACAGACATTTAGAGTGTTATCTTATTAACTGGGTCTGCATCTTTCCTCAGAAAAACACAAAGGGACGCTTATATCGATACCCATGTCAATATTTCAAAACAAACATTTTTCTGTTATCATTGATTGTTATTTATCTATTTTAAATTAGTTGATATTATCTTGGTACTTTGCAACCCTCTGTATCGTCATATCCTCATCAAATAGGATTATTACTTCGATCTGATCCAGAATGATCACATATGATTACAGATTCAGAATGACATTCAATGTTATAGGTTTTGTCGATATTACCCTACAAATGAAATAGGGAACGATAGATATATCTTATTTAATAACTACATAGCATGTCCAAACAACCAATTTCTGTTGTCTAACATATCGTTGCCATAGAAAACAATTTTGACTCATTGATGTGACGTGACAGTTTATATTGCGCATGCTGTACTTTGCCCAAATGCATTGCATGATGATCAACATTTAATTATTGTAATAATATGACAATGCAGGTTAAATATGCCTTTATTTGCTGTTTACACAAGTATACAAAAACCACATGCATGAGGGACAAAGTGTGAATTATACAATTAGATAAAAAAACAGAAACAACCAGAAACAAAAGGATATCTAAAAATGATTAATCACGACGAAATCATGAAATTTTGATATCTGATATATTTTGACGGCATGGTTATAATAACTGATAATGAGTTTTCCGAGAACGTAATGATATTAAAGTTAATTTAATAAAGATAAATTAAAAAAAATAAATGAAAGAAAGCTACTGTTTTCATTGACGAGACTTAGGCATGTTGTCTCACATTTCTCTAAAGTAAATGGCAGCGACATATACAATTATGCTTATAGACATTTAAAAAATATATATAATTAACAAATTCGATCAATTGGGCATCATGATTTTTCACAAAGGCATGTGACAGGTAAATGTACTATTGTTTAGGTGTCAAGCCATTTTGTAGTTTTCTTGTATATCAGACAAGATAATCTTCTGTTTACACCGGTGCTAGAAAAACCTGTCTTACACCCCTGATGTAAGACATGTCACGTACTTTAAATAACATCATTGCCGCGCGCCATTTATGAATAAATTGCGTTCTTAGGATGACGTCATTTTACCGTTATGAATGAAGTTGTTAGTTCATACGCTTCTACAAGAAAAGTGCGTAATGAAGATAATTGATATGTAATATGCATGAAAAAGAACCAAACACCAGCTGTCGGTACGGATGGGAATATCTAGCTCTCGGATAACTGTTAAGCGGAAACTCGGCAGAGCCTCGTTACTGCAGTAAACAGTTGCCCTAAAGCTCTTTACCGGCAGCCAGTTAAAGATTCTATAGTCTTGTAAGACAGTTTGTACTTGTCTCTAATTCATTTAAGGTTAATGTTAATTGATTAAAGTGTAACTTTTGAGAAAGGATAGCATATTCTTTAAACTAATTAAAATTAAAAAATATTCTATAAGTTTTTGACTTCATGTTAACGCTGTCCTATCTTTTTATATGGCCATTAAATTCAATAAATCTCTAATTCGCAAAATAGATATTCACATATCCATCGAGTTCCAAAAAGGATAATATGAAACGATCGAAAAGCATAAGAATGATAGTTTCATAAGCTATCATTATTTTGCTGTTCGGTCGTTTTATAAGTAGAAGGTAACATGACATGAAAGCACACCAAGCTTCTTGGAAAAAGTGTGTGTATCTATTTTCAAAGAAAAAACTTTATGTGTCATATGCATTTTAAGTACAGAAGTGTTAATTTGTCAAAATCGTGTAGAACATAAATTAAATGATTTGTATAAGAACTTTAATAAGCATATACAGTTTGCTGAAATTGATTTTTCGCAAACCTTATTCAATGGTGCTTGAAAATTAGGTATTATCTTTGTAATTGCGTATCCAAGTATGTACAGTTGAAATATGTCAAACAATGATATGGCTTCAGCAAAAATCATGAAATTACTACATGAAGTTCGAAATAAAACTATTTTCATGTTGCGTTATTCCTCATCAGAAGATAGCGTTGAAGGCGATGTTTCATTTCAATATGTTCATCATCACTATTTTCCTCGACGTGGCTTTTGGGGAACCAGCCTTCCTCGAAATCTTTAATCCTTTCACCAAACCAGTTGTCTAAAAAATATATATACTTCACTTATCGATAAAATAGCTTGACATTTTCCAGCAAAATATGAATACTATTGTAACTGATAAGATTGATATTTGTAAATAATATACGAGGGGTGTTTAATAATTAAGCGGAAAAGTTTCGTCATTTCCTTGTTTTTTAAGTTAGCTGAATTAAACTAAAACATTTCATAGACAAACATATTTTGAAAATGTACACGGCAAGCACACTAAATCTTTCAAGATTGTAACGTCAAAACACGTCACTGTGGTAAAGAAGCTGTTCGACAATGATCATCGCATTACAATTCGCGAAAAACGATCGGATTGTAGTATCGGCACAAAACTAGCATTACACACAAAGAGCTGATCATGAGACGCATGTGTGTCAGATGGATTCAAAACATGCTGACCGATGAACAAACATTTGAAAGGGTGCATTGTTGTAGTTTCTCAGAAATATCAAAGGGAAGGTGAACGTGTTCTGCAACATATGCTGACTGTTTATGAGGTATGGATCAGCCTATACCTGAAAGGAAATCACAGTGTTTTTTTTTGTTTTGTGGAAAACCCTGAGATCACCTTCACCTAAGAAGTATTAAGTCGACCCATCTGCAAAACAAGATGCATGTTCATTGCCTTCTTTGACGTCGACGGCTTGATAGTGAGACAAGTACCCATTGGTCAGACAGTGACGGTGAAGTATAAATCTAAGGTGAATACAGATCCATACATCTATATATAGTGAAACCCCGTTTTGCCACCACCCCGATTTCGAGACAAACTCGCTTATAAGATCGGTTTTTTTCAGACGCGTTTTTTTTCCATTCTTTATTTTAATGGTCGCCAACCCCGAATTCAAGACCATCCCGTTAATTCCGTCCAGTTAATTCGGTCCTGTTTGGTAAATTCTGTACATTTGTTAACCCCTAAATACAACCACAGACACTTTCTGGGATCAAAATTGTTGAATTATAATAAATATATAAATACATATGTTTGTGTGTGCGTGCGCACGTGTGAGTGCGTGCGTGTGTGTGTGTGCGTGCGTTTTGATTTTTTCTCAAATCTACTTGTGAAACAATCCGGAATATCTGTTTTATAAAGTTTGACTGTTGGAAGGGCTGTTGCTAATGTTGTAATAACTTGTAACCCAACCCATTTGCACTATACTTACATGTGCATGTGTTGCTTTTTTGTGTAATTCATATCTTACATGTATTATATAGTTGCAATAAAATATTATTGAACTTAACTAAACTTTTTCACACATGAATATTGCAAAATCCTTTAGACACGTGATGCAAACAAAAGTTGTCCCAGTTTTTCGGCATTATACGACATCCACTGTACACATCCACTTTATGTTAGTTTGTATAAATATTGTAAGTGTTTACATTATTCTCTCTCGTTAGAGAAAACTTAAAAGAAACAGTCCAGAAATATACTTGTACAGTGTGTAGAAAATCCTGTAAACGTTCTGTCGGTTTTTCTGTTTGACAAAACTCATAAATGAGACCAATCCGCTATTAAAAGCAGATATGCAAAGGCCCTTCGGTGGTCACGTTAGTTAGTTTTTACTGTAAAAATAGTTCTGCAGTAAAAATACTTCAATGGCGTGCACGAGCTTTCTTACGCAGTGCAATGTGCAATTTTGGTGATAAATCGCGATTTATACTTTGACGATTTCCTGTCACGGGTCTACCGTTGTAAAAAATGCGTTTCTTTTCACGGGGAATATTTCTAGATTGACAATGTGCGTGTTTTGAGTGACACTTGCACATGCGTTGAACGTGACGTCCTGATGGCGTTGGATTGCTAAAACTGGAATAACCTTAAAATACATGTAATATTGTAATAAAAATGTATTCAATTTTATTGAATTTTTGTGAAAACATTACCTCTTTGTAACCCAAGAGTATCAAAAGTACAACTGTTACAGCACTTTTCCGCGAATATATTTAACACATCTCGTTCAATTTGTATATTATTAAAATTAAATATTCAACATGTTTTCAAAGAAATGCTATGATGTGTGTTTTACCTTTTTCCTTTACTTTTACTTTTACTTCATCTGATATCTGTAACGACAGTTCATCATCATTTTTTGCGGTGTATGCCTTTATGCACTTCACAACTGGACAATCTAAAACATGGATTACACATATAACTCACATCATCGTGAAAGCCGTAGCCCATATCAACAGTTTAATGATATACACATGTAACAGTGGTTTTCTTCAGGCTCGTGAATATGTTAACAAATTGTATGACAACGTGTAGAAAGTTTTCTATTTTCTTAAACTTTCAATAATTAATTTGTCTAATCATGATCATATAATTACACAAATAAAAATCAAAAAATACAAAAGTAGAAAACTATGTTTATATTTGTAGATTATATAATACAATTCTACTTGAATTAAAGACTTATTGTCAACTGCATAATTCTTTAAAAATTTAGACAATTTACTCATAGAATCCAGATAAGACGACAAGATGACATAAAATAATTGAACGGATACTGATAAAGTTTGTTTGTTTGATTTATTTTGATTTTAATTTCATTTAAATATGTGATTTTGATTATGCCCTAATGAAAATGACATTAAGAGAAACCCTTGTCCGCCATACCGTGTGCGAGTTGGTACGTGTGGTGTTCTGTCAATCTTAATTTTTTTCAATGCTTTTATCAACAGCACTCAGTCATCTTAAAAAGTATTTTATTGTATAAAAAATGAAATACCAACCATGCTTTCCGTTTTAAAAATTTTTATCATTTTATTGGGTGACGTATCATATAAAGATGGCCATCCTTGTCTTTTAAACAGATTTCTAGTTTTGAAGGTTTGTTGGGGTTTTTTTTAATATCTTTTAAGAAATTCAAACCCAAGTTTTAATACCGAACCTTATCCAACAAAAAATAAGTGTTATACCGTAAACTGTATAAATCGATTCTTTCATCGGTACAATAAGTTTCATCAGTTCTTTTCTGTCTCTCCTGTAAAAGAAATAATTGTTTGTTTTGTTGTATTTTCTGAAGGGGCAGGATTCAAGGTATGAAATCATTTCGGTCCTCAATGTAATTTGTGGCAAATGCAAGACGAGTAAATCAGAAATAGCAACTATTTTAACTCCTTACAACACTCTTAAGCTATTGTGTGCTATAATATCGCCGTTGATGGCCATTACATGTAAATCTATGAGTGTTCTTTGGTTATAATTTATTACATTGAAATGCATCACGCTACTGTTTATATTATCATCATATATTACATAATATTATAATATTGTATATCATGCAATATCATTACGAAAGTACTTGAGGGTTATTGGTGTAATTTTACTTTCTGTACTTTTTATGCATTTTAAACATTTTGAAAGCTCATAATAATACATGCAATACAAAATATATAAAATTCAGATTAAGTGCAATAAGTTTAACTTTTTCATGGATGAGATATTATTCCAGCGTTAAATCATAAAAGTATATTGAAAAACGTACTTCCTTTTACATAAGAGCATAAGCTCTGATCTCTCGCTTTTGTGATCGTTTAAAATAACAAGATGCAGTAAAAACCGTTCTGGATCTTTCTCAGGTAGGAACTGTTTGAATTTACCAATATATTTCTCGTCAACGTTTTCATATTTTAAAGCAAGTAGTGGACAATGCTCGACTACGGTATATGGCGGTCTGAAAAAAAATATGTTAATGATTGCGAAATGGCTATCAATTCATACCAATATTGTTGAACAGACTATAATTATTATAATTGTATTGATCAGATTATAGATAAATTAGCTACTTTTTGCTATTTATTCTTAAATACTTTAACATGATGCTGACAGGAAATTACCCAATTCATGTCTTTATCACCTTTAATAAAGCAACTTAAATTCGTGGTTTCATTTCTCAAATTTACAAACTAAAGTTAACATTGAAAGTTAGTCTATAAGACTTTCCCATAACTGAAATTCTAATAACAAGCAAATACCATTCATAGACGGAGATAAACAAGGTGCCAACTTTCACAAATGTCATGCAACATTTGTTCCTCGAGATGAATAAAAATTCTATCATGTGGTCTTCTGCTAAAAATTTCTTTAACATGTCTAAAAAAAGTATCACAGAACTGACCGTTCTTTTTTCTTAGTAAACACTGCTTTATCATTGAAAAAGTACAATCGAAGCTCTTCAGATTTGATAGTCTCATCTTTTTCTGTCATAACTCGTGAAACATCCGAATCCCAGACAAGATATCTCTTGTCTTTTTTAATTTCGAAGTCTGCTTCATCCTGAAAAAATGCGAAAGTCTTAAAACCGTTTAATCATTTTAGTAAATTAAGGTATGACTATCCTTACCTCTGCTTTGAAGAGTATTCGAATAGGCTAGAACATTGAAACTGAGGGTCATGGGTTCAGACCTCAGATAGGTCAACTTTTTTTTCTTTCTTGTTTTCTTTTAACATTATTTATGTATCTCTCCATCCATTTTGGGTAAAAAAGTGTTTATTTTTTATTATTTAATTTATATAGGTATTAATTGGCTAAATAATGCTAAATCTAGTAATAAATGTGGAGTCTGGTATTTTCAAAGTGTAATAAAATCAATACAAGACAGTAAAAGTATTTAATATTTTACAAGATCAACCAATATACTTTTTTAAAAATTGACGGAAACTTTGAAAAACAGGCACTCACTTGGGTAAACTTTAATGATTTTTTTAAATAAGGCTCCCTAAGTAGGAAATTGTCAAACACGTGCTAAAAATGGGTGGGGTAGGATAAAAAAATTTACATATTTTATAAACTTTGAGTGGAAAACATAATTTTGTTTATGTTGATTGTTAACTAAATAGTACTATTTGTTTCTTACCAAAAACTAATGGGAAAACATTTTTCATTAGAATGTTATTGCAGATTATTTAAAGGTTACTCGTTTCTGAAAAAGGGCCCTCATACACCCTAGCCTCAGTTCATAAAAGTGGCCGTAACTCAATTTCCTTACGGTAAAGTTTGGTAAAATTTTGCATACAGGTGTACTTTAAGGTATATATATGACCTATGATATCAATTTTTCAGTTCCTAATAGTGCCCGTTAGGGTGGTTATACCTTAATCATGCTTTAAAAAACAGAGCCGTGTAGGAGCACATTTGTCTCGGAACACTGTGTATAACATATTCGAATATCATTATAAATTTTAATCTTGTTCCAATTGAGGCCGACTTTGACGCTTACAAATGTATCTAAGTTGTAATAAAAATATCTTTTGTAACACCTACCTTATTTGAGAATTCTATTTCAGAAGCTGCACGAACCATGTTATCTTTTCCCTGTTCAACTGCAGCAGTTGTATTGCATCTTTTTGAAATCTGAAATTTTTAACTCAGTAAAATGAATTTGTCTAAATCATTAAACTGTTCTTTTAAAGGGAAAATTTAATATTTTAGATATAATCTTTAGGTTTACAAAGTACATAAGAATGCATTTATCAAAATAATTGAATTAATTAATAAATGTTAATTTACTCTTTTTATTCAAAAGTTTCAAACTATCAGCTCATTTGATTTTTATTTTAAATTTGCGTACCTTTGCAGCTGCTTTACGTGCAGAATTTGCATGTTTCTTCGGTTCGCTTTCATTTCCGTAGATTTTACAAGACTGGTGATATATTATTTGTGTCAAGATGCAAATGCGAGTGATTCTCTTCATTGGAAGTTTTATGAAAGATGTAATATCCATTTCCTGGCAAGCCTTGCTTTTTTCCAATTGTGTTAGATCAGTATTGAAGTCATTTTGTGTTTTACTGAAATTTGATAAGACTTAACTCATGGTTTAATTAATTGTAACAGTAAAAAGTAAAATGTATTCGATAATATAACAAGAACTGTCGGAGGACAGTATTGGTTCGACTATTCAAAATGTTGTCACAAGGGTGTTTTATTGAGTATAATAATGCTAGTTACCTATGAATACATAAAATTGACCGAAAAAGTACAAAGGCTTGTTATTAAGATATTTTATCAAGTAAATCACTGCTTTATTATTATGAATGCATAAAAATGTTCCAAAAAAAGCCACAAACTCTTCAGTAGTTATGGAGATAACAGCTTACAAGCAAAACTTTACTTTGAATTTCTAAGTTGAAAAAGGGGAGAAAAATCAGCCTAAATGCAAGATAGAATTATGGATCTTGGTCAGTGACCTACAATTATGATTCTAAATGCATATGTGAAGTTTTAAATAAATATCTAATAGATATTGAGATATGTAATACTTGCATGTAAACATTAAGCAAGAGACTAAGTAGAAAAAGGGAGATGAATCAGCCTAAATGCATTTACTGTTATGGAACTTGGTTAGTGACATACAATTATGACTCTCCAATTATGACCTTAAGTACTGTACATGTGTAAAGTTTCAAGTAAATATCTTTAAAGACCTTTAACCATTCACCAAAATTTCTAAGTTTCATTGGGGGAAATAATTCTGCAAATATTGCAGGCAGAGTTATTATACAATTTTGCAAACTGATGTACATTGTTAATATAAAAAAGTATTGTAAATTTCAATTGAATATCTCAAGCAATAATTGAGATATTTGACTTTACAAAGAAAAACTTTAACCAAATTTTCTAAGTTCTAAAGGGGCATAATTATGTAAATATTATAGGCAGAGTTATCCAACTTGTCAATCTGATGTTCATTGTCACTATAAATAAGTATTGTAAGTTTCAATTGAATATCTCAAGAAATTATTGAGATATTTGAATTTACAAAAACTTTAACCAAAATTTCTAAGTTAAAAAGGGGCATAATTCTGTAAATATTATAAGTAGAGTTATCCAACTTGTCAATCTGATGAACATTGTTACTATAAATAAGAATTGTAAGTTTCAATTGAATATCTCACGAAATAATCGAGATATTTGAATTTACAAAAAAACTTAAACTAACTTTCTTAGTTAAAAAGGGGCATAATTCTGTAAATATTGTAGGCAGAGTTATCCAACATGTCAATCTGATATACGAGATATTTATATTGTTACTATAAATAAGTATTGTTACTTTCAATTGAATATCTCAAGCAATAATTGAGATATTTGAATTTACAAAAAATTTTAACCAAAATTTCTAAGTTTAAAAGGGGCATAATTCTGTCAATATTGTAGGCAGAGTTATCCAACTTGTCAATCTGATGAACATTGCTACTTTAAATATTTTTTGTAAGTTTCAATTGAATATCTCAAGCAATAATTGAGATATTTGACTTAACAAAAAACTTTAACCAAAATTTCTAAGTTAAAAAGGGGCATAATTCTGTCAATATTGTAGGCAGAGTTATCCAACTTGTCAATCTGAGATATTTGAATTTACAAAAAAACGCAACGCATATTCACTAACGCAATAGACGACGCGGACGCTGACGCCGACGCTTGGGCGACTACAATAGCTCTCATATTCTTCGAATAGTCGAGCTAAAAATGGATTTTCAGTTTATAGTTTCATCTTTATTTTTAGTTTATTTTAGTTTATTCGACTGAGCTATGAAACACGCGTCGTTCGAAAAACTTTAAGTATCTTTTTAGAGTAAAAGATATATACTACTAATATTTTTAAATCTACATCAAAGAACAACATAAACGTCATTTTTTCGCTAATTTAGATTATTTTGCACTTACATGTATAATTCAAACAATAACTAACAATAAAATACACGTTTACCGCAAACATTCTAATCGTTTTATCTGACGATGTTCATTCCCACAATATTCGACGTAGCATTCAAAATGCTGCTCCACATGGTTGGCAACAATTTTACAAACATTTGGTATGAGAATATCCTTCTTCCAATGACTCTCTAATTCTTTCAATAAACTGCAAATGTTCATTATATCAATATAACACTTTAAAGTCGATATTCACCTAAATTTTGACCATAATATGAATGCAAAACAGTAAGCTTGATTCAGAATGAATATTTTGAAATAAACTGTACTTTAAATTCATGAATGCCGCGAATATTCTAAAACTTTTAGAAACATTATTGTTACTAAATCTCAAGGTAATTAATGAAGATTGCTTATATTGCTTGTATATTAACAGATTATTAAATAATGATTAAAAATGAAATTCGTAAAGGAAATCCACTGAGGCCAAAAAACATAAAATATAAATTTCATTCATAGACCTGCAGGGCACTTAAAAACTAATTTACTTTAAGATATGCAAAAAAATTAAGAATTGTACAGCCAAGAAAAACATTGAAACTCATATTTTGACAAATTCTTAGCACGAAAGGAGTAGAATTTCTAACAATACTATCTTCTTCTTAAAACACGTAGTTAGCGAATGATCTGAAAGTTTGTACATATAATTTATTAGTCAAGACCTACACTAAATGGAATATTAATCTCGAAAAATTATTTCAAATCCCTTCATGTCAAAATGCCTCAGTGGAGTCCTTTAACTGTAATTTTATATAACTAAAATTCACTTTGATTAAAACATAATACTTTTCACTTGTTTCTTGGATTGAAGCTATGTTAGAAAAGATATTTTGAAAGTCGCGTTTAGATTCGTCATTTCCTGATTCCATGCGACGAAATAACTCTGACTTCATAAACACATCTATGAAAGTGTTTATACTTTGCAAATAAGAGGCTTCAGACGTTATCATTTCAAACTTCATCTGTGAATGTATGAAAGTATTCAAGGGGGATCATTTAAAATCTAACATTGAATTGTGTCGAAAATTGAATAAATGAGAAGAAAAAGATATGACTGCAATTGGTTTGGCTGCACAATAATAGCAGCTCTTATCATGCTCAAACATGATTTGAAAATGAATAAGGTTTCTGCCTAGGTTCTACATTTGTTGTGAGATAAGCAAATAAAAAAGGCTCCGTGCACTGCGTTAAGTTATTGCTTAAACATTTAAACAAAAATACAATGCACGGTCTTTTGCAAAGGTTGTTCCTGGTGAAGGAACATAGATTCGCTTTTATGTGCAACAAAGACATTGCAATGCAACTAAACCAGGTTTTCAGCGAATGAAAAGTTTTGTAGTCATGGAAAATTCATACGCAACGTTCAATGTATATGCAATGTGAATGATAATTATGAGGAAAACGAAAGTAAAAAGCAAGCAGTTTGTAATAACAGTAATCCCAATTGAGGCTTTCAAATAGGAATAATATACTACAAGTTTGATAAAAGTATCATTCCTAAATCTGGTTACTGACCGGAAAACTTGATGACAAAGCTTATGTGAAAAATTTGTTCTACATCCCTTGAGTCATTTAGGACGAGTTGCGTACAGAAGAATTGCTCAACATATATAATATAAGGAAAGAACAATAGGCATAATTGGGTTATAAATGATCAAATTATTAAACCTCGATATATTCATCAGAACACTTTATGAACAAATTTCTGTGAAAGTTTGGCCAATGCGTTCAGACGACATTGTTTATGTCCACCTGTCCGCCCACCAGCCGTCATATTTCAATCTTATATACATGTTTTCCCTTCAGAGTAACCTTGTCAAAATCAAAATACCAAAATAAAATCCAGAATTCACATTCTGGTAAAAGACCATGCATTGTAAAATGGACAATTAGTATTAAGAAGGTAAAATATGCCATTTCCTTTACAACTCAGGGTTCGGCATTCGTGCTGCTGTTCCTAAAGAATGTTAATCCAAAACTATATGTTCTGATAACCGAGTGCCGTCGTCATATACTTAAAAGATATGAAAATTCCCTCAAAGAATGAAAATTTATATAATTGAAGGCTTAACCTTTAACAAAAGAAAAAAATAACAGATCAATGAAACCTTAAGTTTGAAGAATCAAATTTTAGATGCATTCCAATTTGAACAATCCTTGAAACAATGTTAAAGGAAAATGTGTCCATGCTTTGATATTAATGATAACTAAATAATTGATAAATATCCTAGTATGTTTAAAGATGACTGATATATAAACCTGTTAGCACATTTTTGAATGTTTTTTTTTTAAATCCAAATTGTCACTTGTTACAAAATTTGCCATATAAATGAACATTTTTCTGCGTGAGCTGGTGTAAGAGGTCGTTTACGATAACTCTCACTTATTACAAATGTAAATCTGACATCTAAACATTTCTTATTTTAACTTGTTGGGTTATTTATTTCATTTTTAATATTAAATTAGCAAACAATACACCAATTAATATGTTATCTGAAGATGCATGGCAATTTTGAGAGGTGCAGTGTCAGCCTAGTAGTAAAGGTGTCTTTCGTTCTCAAAATAGCGATCGTGGGTTCAAACCCAACTTTTACTATTTGAGACCGTTGTTTCTAAGTTCCATAAAGCGGACTCAAAAGTGATTTTGACAATCAGTTCGATTAGTAAAGAAATAAAACAACTCAGGGTGATTCCAATTAACTGTTTTGACAATCATTTAGATTAGTAAAGAAATAAAACAACCGGCCATTTGTACAAAATCAGAGAAATAAAAATGCTGTACCTCTTGTAACATTATCTTTTCTTCTTTTTTGCCTTTTTTTTCTTTTTCTTCTTTTATAAAATTTTCAACAGCATCACTGATTTTTACCTGTGAATATTCATGATATATGTATTTTTGGCCTTTCGATCAGTAAATCAGTAAATAACAAAACTAATTTCAACATGTGTTTTTGAAAGTCATAAAGAATTGTGCTTAACATTTTTCTTTGCATTTAATTGATATACTTATCAAAACTAAGAATTGTGAAGCAGCGTGTCCCCGGATAGGATTTTTTTATCCTACTTTGCCCATATTTTAGAAATATTGCGTTCCCTTCTGTCTTCATTAACTGACCTATTCATTCAGCAAAAGAATCTTTTAAAGGTTTTGACGAGGACAATAAAAAAATTTAAAACTTTCTAAAGGATACCTTTCGTACAATTTATCAATTTTCAAATTAAAGTATGGCTGTTTGCTTTGTTTGTTTGTTGTTTTTGTTGTTGATTTTTGTATTGTTTTTGTTGTTGTTGTAATTTTGTTTTGTTGGGTTTTTTTTTTTTGGGGGGGGGGGTGTCCATATAGTGTTTAGTTTATGATACCTCGGTTTTATCTATCCAGTTTTTAAAACAGGTGTTAGGTTCATAATGTAAATCGCATTCATCATATATATCTTCTGTCTCGTCGTCAGAATTCTCTGGATCACCTATCAATTACAACAAAATCTACAAATAATTTGAATAACAGATATTTCAAAAGTAATGAACGTTTTAATTATATTATGTCCAATTAATTGTTCTGTTGTATGAATTCAATGCTTCTTCTCAACATAATATAGAGCAGATTCATTTCAATTCAATTGTCCTTGGCAGTTGTATAGATTACAGCTAGTTAAGATGAATATTCTACTATGCATGTCAGCTTCGTAGTAAGCCAATGTTTTGGCTGTCACTATATGTTTACCTAAATATAATGTGATTGAAATAATTTACGTTTTGGCGTACACATGATGTATAGCTTGGTTGACGCAGTTGATAAGAAGCTTTCTGTAACAATACATAGCCGATGTGGCATGATATCCGGTCGTTGAAATTATAAATATAAAATACCTAATCCTCTTTTCAAATGTTGATTCTGTATCTCTTTATCATAATATTGATAAAGATGCTCCGCTTCTAAGGCAGTTGTGTATTTTACTTCATCTGACGTTTTAGCAATTGTCGCTTCAGGCATATCACCTGAATCAGTTGCACTATCTTTACTTGTATAATCTGGTTCTCCCATAACAATTGGTTGTGGCTATTTTGAATTGTCAAACATATATTAAATTGTATGTATAATAATGACACAATTGTGGACATTGATATAATTGACAGCTTTTGTATTACTTTTATCTTTTATTTCTCAAAATAATATTCTTTTATATTGAAAATCCTAGAATAATTAATTATCACGTACGTTATCCTATCTTATTTGTGTCTTTACATGTTTAAAATTTCTATATATACAAGTATATAAAGTTACTATACGTAATCAGAAGTAGTAAACATAACAGTAAAAAAATAACTAAAGTGATCACTAGTATTTCTCATCAACAACAAGCAATGCTTGTATACACAAAATATAATATAACAATACAATATAATGTATAATGTATATGTATAATAGACTATACCAATTGTTAAACCATTACATCTTTTTGTTTTATCTTAAAATTTTCAATTATGGACCAGCCAATTGTTAATTATGCTTCCTTAAACAAGACCATGAGGGAGATCACTGAGATCACTCAGATCACTCAATGAAGGACTAGATTTTTTTAAGAACACCGTAGAATCGAAGGAACAAACATCAGTTAAATGTATAGTAAATGCATCTATAAATAGCCAGTGAGTTTTTGTCAGGCTCATTATCTTCCGATAATATATAAATCAAATAGCGTTACTCAAATTTCGAAAATATGCTAACTGAAACATCCTATATCTTAACAAAAAAAATGATAAAAAAAACCTTGGAATTACCCAAAAACTAGTTTTTTCATGTTAACACGTGCCCTTACACCTAATGTAATGGTGAAAAGTTGTTGTTTTTTGACATTTTTTATTTTTTGAATTAACCTTTTACCCCATGAGCATATTGCAAGAAATGGCCGTTTTCAATAAAAACCCTCTTGTAACAAGTTCAAACTGCTATGAAACTATGAATAATGCTTCAATACTGATGAAACTTGGCAAAAGTGTAGACAAGGCCTCTGTACCAGCATGCTCCATTGTAAATTTCCTGTTACCATGACAACGGGGAGACGTCTCAAAATTACCGAAAATCACTATTCTGCACCGCTTTTTCCATCAAAACTGATTTCAAAGTGCTGCAACTTCTCAATGAATTGAGATAGTCTTCATCGTCGGTTACTAATTACCCTAAGATCGACCTGACCCCATTTTTAGCCTGTCACATTTACAAAATTTTCTTGGCGATGAGGGGAACTACCGCCCCCTTCAAACCCCACAAACAGAAGGGGCACATTCCCATTCTGGTAACCCCCTGATGTAACATTTTGAAAGGGGAAGGAGCCAAAAAAGTGGGCACTTTTTTAACAACATTTCTCAAACAAAAAACAATGTTTGGACCTAGGGCATTTTTTCACTGTTTGATGCGTCAAAAAGCGGGGACAAAAATCCGTCAAACCACGTGTAAAATGACGTTATTTCGGATCAAAATTCTCGTAAAGTTAAGCTGTAACATGGCCAGCAGTTTATTAGCAGGATTCTTTATATGAATTCTTTAAAAGCATAACCTTGACTTTACTAAATATAAGATATATAAGCCAGACAAATACTCTCAGTCTATGTATAAAGACTATGCCGTCGTCTTATTTACATGTTGTCTTCTTTCTATTGTGCAGTGTATACAGGGGAGAATATTGTATTGTATAGTGTTTTGAGATTGTTAGTCTGAAAAGGATGAGATATATTCATACTATGTCAAATGACTTAGATATATTAGAATAGAAATAAGCAAAAATACTGAGTAAAAAGATATTATAAGTTCTATTTGGTATGTAAATGGAGTGAGGAGTAGAGTTTACAAAGGACTTTGAAAATTGTTTTCTATATCGGACATACATTATGTTGTTTGTTTCTGGAAAACCTTATTGATACAGTGGTGAGTTTGTAATAAGTGATGGTTGACAGGAGTGCACTCAGTTCGTAGGCGTGCATGGTATATTTGTCATTTTCTAATAACGGTATATAATATTTGGACATTTTGTTAAGTTACTGTTCAGTAGAAATTTAAAAGAAGGAAATGAAGATTCATTTTTTAGTTCTGCAGGTGGGTTGTTCCAGTCTCGTAGGGCGATGGAGGAAGAAAAGCCTTACAGTACTGAGGTATTCTTTGTACGTAAAAACACTTTGCCGTTTATATCGTTTGAGTTGCGAAGATGTGTCTCTTTGTGTCTCACCTACTGAAGGGGCGGATAGAACACTATTATAGGCAATTTGGAGAAAGTACAATTTTCATTTTGTAAAGAAGCATGACTTTGTGTTTCCTTCTTCTACACTCTAAACATTCCTAAGTGAATTGTCGTTGGAGCTCATGTAGAGACACAAATTTGCACGCACCAGAGAAAATTTTAGACGATTCGCGTTAAATTTAATCAAGTTCACTTTTCTCGTATTGAATAAAATATACAGCATCGGTGTATTCTAAAATATATCTAATGTAAGACAATGTATGACAGATAGAGTATTTCTAAAGATCTACGATCGAATTGAAATTTAAGTTTACGCTCCAAGCTCTTTCCTTAATAAAATATGCCAATCAATAAATGTAAGTCATGGTGATTGTGAGAAGTAACTGCAGATATTATTTGGTTTTGTACAGGAAGAATGGGATGTATAGGTTTAGATCTTCCATGGGTGAGTCACATTGTTTCAGATTTAAAGGGATTGAACTTCACCAGCTATTTGCCAGCCCCAAAAGAGTTTTTTATTGATATCACAATGAAGAATATCAGCTGCAGATAGTGGATGATCGACAGTTAAATTAAGGCCGGTATCATCTTCGAAAACATTTACACAATACCTTACGTCTACAACAATATCATTAATATAAAATATATTCTTTTTATTTATAGTCATTAGTACCTCTGTCCTGTCCCCTGATTGAGCCGTGTGATCGGTGAGTGTTCTCCTGAAAAAATGATTTCTGTATACGATTGTTTTAGAATAAAAATTTCAAAAGACCCATTAAGTGATAAAGTTGATTGGCTAGTTTTTAGTATAAGACATAATAACAAATAACTTAAGAATTATATAATTATGGATGTTGTTTGCAAGTGTGAGATATATGAAACGATATTACATATATTTATGTAGCATTTAATAAAAACGTTCTAGAACAAAAAAAATATTACTCAACATATAAATGTTCATACTAAATCACTTATAACTTTTATAACTTATTTCTTTTACGGAATTTCTCATACGAAATGATGCCTTTTTATTATTGTTTTTTCTATTTTGAATGTATCATGGAAAATATGCCAATTATTGAACAAAACACTTTGACGACAGACCTGCTTCCATATCAAAATCATTATTTCAACTATCGTGGACTAACCAGTTCTCAAACCTCTTAGCATTCAAGAGGTCTTTTAATGTAAAAAAAAAATTATATCTTTATAAAAATACTTTACATATGTACACTTTAATCTTTATGTAACATTTCTGTAAAATTTGACTGAAATTCAACTATTAAAAAAGCTCTATTTTCATCTTGGAAAAGCACAACCCTCTGTTTTAAAACTTACATGGCCTCTTAAAATAAAGAACCTTATCTCAAACCCCTTCAAGTATCTCTAAAATTCTACTGTTTAGTTTAGCCACCGAAGTGATTGTTATACGACTATCACATGACAATAAAGTACCCTACACAATGCAGTTACCTACTTTAAGATATTTTTGTCTATTATATTCATTTTCACAAATAGTAAATGGTGTATTTATGGGACTTACAAAGGTAATAGCAATTTGTATGAAATTACGCTAAGTAATAAAATATGTTATGTAAATATTTGTTCCTATGCACTGTTTTCATTTGACATCAGCAGACATGTCTGTCAGAAACTAAGCTTTTATGCACACAAGTTCAGGACATCATAGTCACTTCTAGTAAAAAAATAACAGCACATGAATGAAAGGTTTGAGAAGAGGTTGGGTGTGAGATTAGGTACTTATACGATACATATGTGTGAACTTTACAAAGAAAAACTGTTTTATATTGCGTTACAAGATATATTTATCGGATTAATTTATTCATTACACTACGTGTATTTTAGGCCAAGGGATGTGTAATCATAGAAGTTCTAAATTTGCTCTTACAATTAACTCTTATACTCTGTAGATGTGTATTTTACAATTGTCGGTGAAATTGGTGATATCTTTAGACCAAATAAAAATAATATAGCACAGTTACTAGATTGATTTTCTGCTAAAACTTTAGCAGTAATCAGATGAAAAATTCATAAAATATCTCTTACAATGCTTAACTGTAAAATCTAGAAAGTTATCAAAAAGTTGCACAACTGATATAAAACTAGCTAGCTTATTTCTACAGCAATGGTTAATTTAATTTTGAAAATAAGGAAAGCACTTTTGCCAGTATGTATAACAAACGTGTATCACATAGAAGTGCTCGTCGACTCGAGGGGTTTCCAGTGTCTTGAAATGCATGACTCCCGATGAGACATTATATTTCGAAAAAATAAAATTTGAAAAGAAAAATTAATTAAGATTTAACGAAAAGTAAAATATTCAGTGTGCAATAACTGATTTGCAGTATTTGCCACCATATTTAAATGCGTGACTAACGTAGCAATGCTTGTTGGAAGTTTTGACTACTTTTTAGTAATTTACATAAATTGTAAGATGTTCATATGTGTAAATTCCATTCTTCATTTCACAATATTTTACTTTTAAATACATTTTCAAATGATTCATTAATGAACATGAATCTTGCATGTTGCTTTAAGAAAGGCTATTTTGGAAACATAAAAAAATATTTTTAAAAAGGATTTCAAGATTGACACTTTATGTTGCTTTAAGAAAGGCTATTTGGGAACCATAAAATTATATTTCTAAAATGGATTTCAAGATTGACACTTTATGTTGCTTTAAGAAAGGCTATTTGGGAACCATAAAATTATATTTCTAAAATGGATTTCAAGATTGACACTTTATGTTGCTTTAAGAAAGGCTATTTGGGAACCATAAAAAAATATTTTTAAAATGGATTTCAAGATTGACACTTTATGTTGCTTTAAGAAAGGCTATTTGGGAACCATAAAATTATATTTCTAAAATGGATTTCAAGATTGACACTTTATGTTGCTTTAAGAAAGGCTATTTGGGAACCATAAAATTATATTTTTAAAATGGATTTCAAGATTGATACTTAATGTTGCTTTAAGAAAGGCTATTTGGGAACCAAAACAAATTTTTTCAAAATTGATTTCAAGATTGACATCTTATGTTGGTTTAAGAAAAACTATCTTTGGGAACCATAAAATAATATTTTTAAAATTGATTTCAAGATTGACACTTTATGTTGCTTTAAGAAAGGCTGTTTGGGAACCATAAAATGATATTTTTTAAAATAGATTTCAAGATTGACACTTTGTATGCAGTCAAAACAATAGTTGTGAATAAAACTAATTATTGTTGCTTGTCAAGAAAACAATTAACTTATTCTCTGATATACTAGTATAAATATCTATATGTACGAGTACATGTATATAAATGTGCAGCTAGGGAAATATAGCTCTGACTGTAAAACTGATATAGCTCATCAAAACGTTTGAAAAAATTTGTTTAATTCATAATTCATAAGATTATCCATTTCTTGAACGTATTAAATTTTGTTGAAATAAGAGTAAATTTCAATAAGAAACCTGCTTAGATGATGCCTTCTGAACACGTAAAGTCCTATGGCGAAAATAAAAATTATAAAACCACATCCGCCAACACTGCAAAGGACGATAGTTAGTACCGGACTTTTTTCTTCATTTGTTTCTAAAACAGAAACAGTTCGCATTTTAATAATGATGCGTTTATTAGCTGGTGTGTCTACATGTAAAAATATTTTTGCTTTAATTAAACGGGCCAGTTTAGTTTCCCTACATGTATTTTCATTTGTTTGAAAAAAATCAATAGTGCTCGTTGTTTAAATAGTATAGGAAAGAACAAATCTAAACGACGTCAGTATACATGTAGTTATAATAACTCTTCATGTTTATTATATTTTATATGTAATATACTAGCATAAGCGTTTTTCATCTATAGTAACGTCAATTGTTTTCTCGTTTCTTAAGGGTACACGGATTCTTTTACTTGGGGACCATATGCTGCTTCTCGTGGAATGGCAAGGAAGTGTCATATTGAAGGTTCCGTGAAAAAACCGTCGTATAGACAAATCTTTGGATGTTTCAAATTTCCAAATTTTACCATTTCGTGTTAATATCTCGAAAATTGCTTACACCGATGCTTTAAGGCGGGGCGCTAATTTGTATTTTCTAGTATCGTCCATTAACAATCCCAGTTAAAAAGAACCTTTAACATATTTTAAATTTTGTCTTTTGTTCGTTCTTAAGGGATTATATATTTCTCTTTATTTGGATGTTGAAGTAATAAAATGGATAAGTACATCTCAGCAACGGTTTAAGCATAAATTTGCATGAAATAAAAGGCCTAAATTATCCTGCAGTACAATTACACACCTTCGTTACAATGAACTCCCTTGTAGCCTTTAGCACATGGACCGGGGCATACTCCTTCGTCCTTGGTACAAGTTCCGTTGCCAGCGGCACAGTAACAGTTTCCATTGCAATTAGTCCCAAAGGTTCCATCCTCACATACTTTTTTTTCATTTTTAGAAGAAATAAAGGATTGTTGATGACGCAAACCCGTATTTAAACATATCTTATAAGATTCCTGGTCTTTAGTTACTTATGTTTGATTCTACTTGAAAAAATAGTGAAATGTGTGCGTAATGTGTGACCATTTAAACGGCCAGTTGGCTTTTTATTAATTATTCAATTGTGCTTAAAGAGTTTTGTTTTTAGCTGTTCTTTTGTCATTTGAATGAAAGAATAATTTCTATCAAGAGTATATAAGTTTTGTTATAAAAAGCCAAAATCTTAACCTTTGAATTATTGAAATTTCAAAATGTTTCAAGAAAATATATATTTTTCAAGACTGACCTTTGTTACAATGAATTCCATGATAACCCTTTCTGCATTGACCTTCACAAATTCCATAGTCACTTGTACATGTAGTATTGCCTTCACAGAAACATTCTTCTCGACAGTTTTCACCAAATGTGTCCGTTGCACACCCTGTAATGGTAAATAAATGAAAACTATGTTCATTTTATATAATAAAGATGATTGTTTAATTTATCATGAATTATTCAGTTTTGAATGTAATTTATTTCTATTTATATCTAGTATTTTCTTTTTCTAATGAATTGTTTTTAAGTTGATAACAATTGGGTAAACAGTGTTGAATAATAAATATTGGTTAGCAATTTGATAAAATTTTAATACTGATTTCAGCATCATGTATGTGTGTCACAATGTCACACTTTTTTAATATTTGTGAAAAATGAATACTTTTTAAAGTGTATAGTTTTCAAAATTGCAATTTACTCGTGTCACATGCAGGTCCTATCCAACCTATTTTACAGAATGGTAAGTTGCAATGTCCAGTTGATTTATTACAGTTTCCATCATTTGTGCTGTAACAATGACATTCCTTAGAACACTCCTCACCATACGATCCTAGCCTACAATCTTCAGACAACACTTGAAAATTATTAACCAGATCTGAACTCATATAATGAATTGAATCTTGGTTCCTTTACAATGAAATTTCACTGTACAAAGAACATGTTACATAAACCAAATTGTCTTACAGATTTCATATGCGATTAACAGTTGCAGAGAAAATGGTTATTACTGGTTGATTATCCAGTAAAGCAGTATACCTGGATAAAAGGCCAAGACATGAACAAAGAAGTGTTAAAGAAAACTAAATATCATTGTTCAAGACTTATGTTATATAATATATGAACATTATATATTTCTTAACGTGTACATATTTTACATTATCACTTTTGAACATAGCATTCATGTTTTATTAAATAATACAATGTTCGATACGAAATTTGATGCAGATTTCAGATGCAGTATTGGGTATTTTCAATGTTAATAGAAGACTTGTCTCATGCATAGAAATTTATCGATAAAATGAATTTTAGCCTAATGATAACCAGAAATTAACAGTTCATACCTCCCTCATACACTTTCACTTCACATATCGTAAGTATACCAGATCTTTCTATAGTTACATGCCTGGCTAAAACATTGTACAATTCAACAGTTGTGTTCTGGTCTGATGTCAGCACATTACCGTCGTTGTAATACAATTGTTGCTTTTGGTCAGTAGAATTTTTCAAAGAAAGACGGAACCCTTGAAGTTGTAAGAATTTGTTTTCTGTAAGAAAATTATTCCATATTGTAGATTACTACTCACAGTTTATTTTATCTTAATTACCAAAGTTATAATCGAAATGCAAAGAAATGAGATTAGTTTTTCGCAAAAAAATCTTAACATGATACTTTTATTTTATATTTTTATATTAATATAGCATTTTGAATTATTCTATAATTTCGTATTATCAATACCAGCTACGAAAAGAATATTAGTGGAAAATGGTCATTTTATCATTTAAGTCGGTAAAAGTATTGTATATATAACAAACAGTAGGTCAAATCAGGCGAAGAAGATGTTGAAATTACCTGCTTCTCGACCTTGAACGATCACTCTCGCTAAGGGATACATCTTTCCAAGATCAATTGTCCACCAAGATGTTGCGCTATTCATTGTCCCGCTGCAGCATTCACAAGTATCAGGATCATTACCGATCTGTCCGTCAATAGCTTTATCTGATGTCCAATTGAACGCTACAGAAGACATCTCTGTGTGAAAGGTTTCATTCCTCCCTGTTATTAAGCTGTTTTCTAAAAGAAAATTATAATTGTAAAAAATTCGAATCACTGCAACTCGATGCGCAACCTATTATCATAAAAAAGCTGTTCAAAATATATATCTTTAAGAATGTCTATAACGGAAAAATTGGGAATGTAGGAGTCTCGGTAAAGATTAAGTTTAACTTATTAACGATGTTGAGTATTATATGCTAAACAAAAAAGGACATTGTCCGTTTTAAAGTTCAGGTATGCGGAAATATGGAAATATAAGTAAATATGTGCATAGAAATGACAAGTTTGTTGTTTCTGCTTTTGAAATGTAATTTCTCTCATTGATTTAAAGCTTGTGTTAGTTCACTGATGTTCAACGGTGAAGAAGACCTAGGTCTTACACGCTGGTTAAAATTATACAACGGGTGTTCGATGGGATCAGAACTGGACTTCTCTTGGGCGGGCCAGGCATAAATAATGCAACTTTATTCGACCAGATACCGATTGAACTCACAGTTGCTCATGCTGAAGGACTTGAGAAATTATCCTGTTGAAACAGAGTGATATTTGCATCACATTGAAACACATGGATATAATGCCTGCAAGATAATTCATCTCGGTAGCGTTGGCATTCAAATATCCATAGATTTCGACAAGAGGTATGCACTAGTCCATTGTTGCCTTATCCGGCGATAGTATGTACGAACCCAAGTAACACGATTTACGCGTTAACATCCTGTCAATACACAGTCAAAGTAAGGACGATATCCACGTGGACCAACATCAGGCAGACGATTGCATTCAGTTCTGGTAGAAACTTGGTTGTTATATGTACCAGGGTGTAATAAGCAATGGCATAGCAGTTTGAAAATGATAAAGTATGTTCATGGTATAGCTGTAGACCAGGCATTGTGATTTGCGAACGTCAGATATGTGGCAAATCTTTCGTATACAATGTTGCTTTAGGTTAGCTGCTAACAATCCTATCAACGTCATTCATCTCCATGCAAGCAATAACATTCCAGTGCCACGTTTACTTGGATGGACGTATAGGGATATCAAAAAAAGAAACTCATTTTCAATGTCTTTTTTCTATTGTCAACAAAACCTATAAAATCAGATAGAAGGGTTTCTTTTAATAAACGATGATTATACTGATCCATGCTTTACATTTATAACTTGTGTATGTTGTTGTTTTTTGTTTGTATTTGTGTTGTTTTTTTGTTGTTGCTTTTTTGTTGTTGTTTTTTGTTATTGTTTTTGTTTTGTTTTTTTTTTTGTTGTTTGTTTTTTTCTTTCTATTATCGAACTCAATTTGATGACATTTCAGTAATTCATATACCTGTCGAACTATACAGTTACATTACTTAGTGTTAATTGCAATCATTACTGTACTAAGATTCTGTTCTATTTCTAATTGTATCGCCTTATCGATCTCAAAGATTATTAAAATGACAAATTCAAACCTGTGGCTAAAATGAAGTTTTGCGTATTATTTAAACATGAATGCTATCCTCAGTTAAATTGATCGTGTTTATTCATTCCTTCGTATCTTAGCAAGATTATTCATGTCAGGATAGGCTAACGTTGTTCTTAATCTATCTAAGGATGTGTTCTATTTTATATATTTTTAAAGGACGCAACGCCCGATACAAATAGGTAACATTTTCTGATGATTTACCCGTACACCGTTGTTCATCTTAAGATATTGTTAGGTCTTATAACTTACCGCCTATATGACTGAAATACTGTTGGGAAAAGGCGTAAAATGAAACAAGCAAAAAACAAAAAAAGGTCTTATAACCCGAAATCATATTGATATATAAAAAATAAACGTTTTTATTAGGGAAAAAATATTTACATTCAACAAAAACCAATGATAATGTTGCAATCGTAACTTATTTGTGTAAATTTATACAAGTTTTTTTGCGCTACTCAAGAGTATCTCCTGTGACTGATAACAAATCCAAAATATGTCATAATTTATTCAAAAAGACATTTTTAAACTTATCTACATTTGTTTACTTAAATAGGATATAAGATAGCAAGCAAAAATTCACTGCTACAACCTTTGATAAACAAGTACTGTAATAAAGTCAAATAAAACCAATATACCTTACTGACAATTCTTAAATTTCAGTCATATAATGTATAAATAAATGTTAGAACCGCCGATAAACTATTTAACTTCCATTACTTCCTGAATTGCAATAGGTATGTCTTAATAATTTAATGTCAATTTGTTGTGGTATCCTCCGACCTTGTTTCGGTTTTTATTTTTTTGTACGACATTGACTTCTTCAATTACATATACAGGCATTTTATGGGTCTTGTACAAGATAACCACTAATATTTTGCGCATTGATGATTTCTTGTCTGAGCTACCTTCTTCATCAGTCTAGGCTTCATGATAAAGTAAGAAACGTCTTTAAACATGTATGGGTCGAAAAAATGAATAAATACATATATCTTTATTGTAGATATTTGGGAGGGGTCCATAAAACGCCCATTAAAATGTATTGTATTAAAATTACTTTTATACATGTACGTGTATTCATATTTTAACATTACTTATATTGCTCTTTGTGGTATTAGCAAGTTCGTATATGAAATAATATTAAATATAAGAATATGATTCTGCTTTAAATAGTTTGTTTTCTGTTTCGAATTGTAACGTCTCCATGTGAATTTTATCAGATATTCTTTGATTGATAATGTAAATGGTATATGTTTATCAATTTCTAAAGTGTTAGCTACTTCAAAAGTATACCCCATGTTAAAAGAATGAGTTTGCACAAAAATCAATTTTTAAACTTGAATTGAAATGTTAAGATTACCTGACATTTTCAAACCAACAAACTCAATAAAGGGCTTATAAATTTTGAGATAAAAATCGAACGTATCTTTACAAATATTTAAAATGAAGAAGAGATACCGACGTGTTTTTCACAATATACTGAATAACAATAAAAATCAGATAAAAATCTGTTAAGATTTTTAAAAAAATCCTGAAAACATTCAATTGCAATTTATTTTGACAATATGCAACTGCTGAAATATTTGATTTATACCTATGTACTATATATAGTAACACAACTTAGAGTATTATGGCAAGATATATGTCATACAGTTTTGGCCGCCTTGCTAATCGGCATTATTTTTCCATAAAAGACGAGTGCATGAGGGCACAGACAGTATGACATAATAAACTTTCAGTGACTTTCATGAATGAACTATTGTCACGTGCACACAAAATTTAAAGTTTTGATGACATAATCAATCGCTATCAACAAAGCTTTACATTAATTAAAGAAATATAACCTAATTAATCCAATAACTATGACCAAGCAAAATTGTGAACATAGAAAATTTCTAAATGACTTCAGTTTGCCGGTACATATAGGCCACTGCATGGATATGAAAACAGATGAATTGTTTAAACAATATTGATACTTAAGAATTCGTCATGTATAAATCAAGATCTAAGCTACAAGATAGATCTGAAGAAATTTCAAGATAATTTGCCCCAAAGGGAGAGCTAGAGCCATCAACAAGTCAGAGAATAGATCTGAATACATGGGCATTTACAGATAAATCTGTCACTTGACAACATCATATTCGTTCTTGAATGTACACAATTTCATAATGTCCACAAATAAAGAATATCTATGAATATAACCAACAATAATTCAACCAACATTTTCTCATTTTCATTTTGTTTTATCATGTCGGAGGTTCCTAGCTTGAATCAATAATGTCCTTCTGGCCTGCGGTCGTCAGGTCAGGCCATTTTCGCATAATCGCGAGTAGCAACCAAGTATTAACTTCTAAATAATAGATAAAAAAAACTTGAGCTTGTGTGAAAATATTTAAGTATGAAAAGATAGCATGAGAAAAACATGCGATTCTTTTTTACTTATACTTGTTGAATGATTGAATAAGATGAGAATATGTGTGACATGTTTCCGAAGTAAATATCGTTCTCCATATTGTCATTACTATCTATGTCCATTTTTAGAACAACCTAAACATATTCACTTTCATAGATTGTTAATGAAGTGTCAAATATAGCAATAATTCAGGAACCTGATTCATGCAACATAAATTCATATTCATTGCTTCGTTTTAATTTTTGTTGACACATTTTACTTTACAGAGTTACCAATGTCCCCCGCCTAAGGGAAGTTTTACATAAAGCACAGAATTGAGCTATTTTAAAAGATCTAGGTATGGATCTGAACTTTTAGTGCCAAATTTTGATCAATGCTAGATCTGCACATCCAAGTAACAATAAAATCAAAAGAAATTGGCCCTCATGTGTGACCTTGACATTGAAGGTAGGAGTCTTGCTGTTGCAAATGACACATGGTCCCTTTACTGTGTACATTTGTGCCAAGTAATTTCAAAACACCTTAAACAATAAAAACAAGAGCTGTCCGTAGAACAGCAACGCTCGACTTAGTGCTTTATAGTAAAAGAGCCTTAGAATGTAAAATTTTCTACGTTAAAAAAGGGCAATTATTTTCTTTAAATCCACGTAACAGTTAAAGGCCTTGGAGAATGTCATATTATGCTCTCATAGAAGAGTATAAAATTTTAACTTGTTTAAAAGCCAGATGTTAATAAAATATGAAAATATTTTAGGTATTACGTAAATTCAAGGTCGAAAAAGGGCATTATTCTGTCATAATTCTTGATACAGTTACCTCCAACTGTCTACAGGTTGGAGTCATGATAGTGAACAAGTGTGCAAAGTTTCAAAGCCATATGTCAATGGGCTTTGAAAATATTTGACGTATCACAAAAACAATAAGTGGTTACGCCGATACCGACGCCGACACCGACGCCCGGGTGACTACAATAGCTCTACTTATTATTATAGAATAGTCGATCTAAAAATTATGGACTGTACACAAAATATACCCTATAAAGGGCCATGTTAAGCTTTGGCCTTGAATATAAGAGTCTGGTGTTGTGCATTGCACATTGTCTTATCATTGTCAACATTTATGCCAAGTATTTTCAAAATCCCTTGATGAATGAGAAAGTTAAGCACTGGAAATAAAGTAAATCCTATAACAGACTATATAGCAAACTATGTTAATCGTTGGCCTCCAACTGTAACCTTGACTTTGGAGGTAGGCGCCTGGTTGTTGCAAATGACACATCGTCTTAATATTGTGAACATATTTTCTAAATAATTAAATGATGTCAACACGCGTTGATCAATGAAGAAGTTATGGACCGGACACAAAATATACCCTGTAACAGACTATGTTAATATTTGGCCTCCAATTGTGACATTGACCTTGGAGGTAGGCGACTGTTGTTTGCGCATGACACATTGTCTCATTATTGAGAACATTTGTGCTAAGTATTTGAAAAAATCCCTTTATGGATAAAAAAGCTATTGACCGGACACGACATATACCCTCAAAGAGACAATACTGACCTTTAATCACCAAGTGTGACCTTTACCTTGGAGGTAGGGGTCAGGTTGTTTCGTTTATTATTGTCTAATTAAAACAAACATTTGTGCTAGGTTATTTTAAATTCCTTTGATAATTGAAATAGTTATGGACAGGACATAACTATGTGACGGACGGACGCGAGGAAAGACGGACAGACGGACGGAGCCTATTTATATATGCCCCTTTCTTCTTCAAAAAGGCGAGGAACAATTAAAAAACTCTTGATTGTTTACAACTTAATATTTCCTTCCTTCTACAGCTTATTCAGAAGAGAATTAATTTGAACATTTTATTGCTGTAAAATTATAACATTTATATAATGTTCCTATTGCGGATAAACAATTGTTTTGACAATGTCAGAGTGCGCTATGTACATTTTTTTATTAATTTCGTAAGTACAAATAGTTTCAATAAACATTTCATAAGAGAAACATGCATCTTAATTACTCACCAGCATTTGTAAACGCCAATTCTATAATGACGAAAATAACAATAGCGTTTTTGCCCATAATGAAAGAATAAACATTTACTGATTATCCGTCTCCAATTACAAACACAGTTCACAGATAAAAGGTATGATCAAAATAGTCTGAGCGAAGACGGGACCACACAAATATTTGGTACTTGTAAACTAATAATCAATATATTGAACTTCATCAAAATTCTTTACTTAGATTTTTTTCTTTGCATGAGGTAAACTTTCTTATTTTATCTAAACACTCATGTCAATAAGCAAAACAGAAAATGGAAGGGATGTTTTTATTCGCAATATCAATGAATTATGTGTCTTATCTAAAGATTAGTCATTGATTATGTTTACATTCCAGCCCTTTTATTAAATATTGTGATTGAAAAGAAACCTTCCGAAAAGAAACAGGAACATATTTATTACTTAAAAATTTGATTTCATTATATGTGGCATAACGGTACAGAAGGAGGCATGGGTGAACAAAACACTGTTTTGTCCATTTATTGTGCCTTCAAACTACAAAACTGACATTATAACTTGCAGTCGCAGGGGGAAAATGAGTACAAAATAGCGATTTGACTGATTTTTATAAATCCGAAAAACCTAAACAAATTTGGTAAACTGAGAGGACATGGGATAACTTCTTACATCTGTCACATAGCACTTATCAACTGTTGGAGTGAGCTGGACTCATGAGAGTTGAAGATCTGGTAAAATTTATCTATCGTGAAACATTTTGCATTATCAAAAATTCTGTTATAAAATTTATCGAATGAAAAAAAAAACATTTATACACAATGGTGCCATACTTTTTAATTGGAAATGACCAGACTTATAGTTGATGAATGCAACATTGTTGTATATTAAATAAACAATGCCATGTAATTACGATATTCATTCATATATTAATGGGGAAGTCAAAGACTGGGATAAGGCTTGCTCGGTTATAGACTACACGTGGTCATTTAAATCCGTCATAATAGGACATCTTCATACGCAATTCATAAAAGTGAAAATTTTGAAGAAAAGAATCCGATCAACCCCTTTATTTACGTCACACATTTTTTTCTCTTTTATAGTTCTACAAAGCTGAAGTAAATAAGTTTGTTTTGGGACATTTTAAAAATTGCAATTTCATTATTTCGGATACGTAAACATAGGGTGAATATACAAATAATATTCGTGATGAAGTATCTTTTTCACCAATTATTTACATAATTTATGTTCTCTCAGCTAAGTTACAAGATAAAACAAAAGTTGAATCAGACTACATGTATACATGTACAATAAAAACAGATCATCGGGGAAATGCATTCATGAATTATAAAGAAACTGATTTGGCTGATAAAAAGTGATTGACTCGCTGGTGATAGTCAAAACACGTCATTAGCTCTTTGTACAGTGTGTTCAAATAATGCTTAAAAGAACCCTTTTCAACTGATTGCATTAAATAAAAAATAAGGGGTTAATGCGTTTGTTGAAAATACAATTCATTTTTATCTTGCACCTTTTAAAGTATGTTTTAATGTCACTGCTAACATATGCACATGATTACAACTTTGATTACAGAGACAAATGTAAAAGGAATATGCACATATACAAGTATATTGTATAAAAGGCAAGTTCTTCTATAATATACAATAAAGGTATATTTATATAATGTTTGATAATTCAATTTCCAAGTCGAAAAAACGGCCCTAAACAACTGAGAATTTTCTCAAGTAATTACTATCATTATTAACAATTGCTGAGCACTATTTCTTGATGTATACAAAATTCTGCAAGTAACAGAAGGTTACTTCGCACGGATATCTTTTCTAAAGATACTTGTTGTTTCTTCCCTCTTTGCAATTTTTCTTTCCCTTTTTTTTTTTTTTTTTTTTTTTTTGATCATTTAAATTTTGCAATTGTTTTTGTTTTGTTTTGTTTTGTTTTTTCTTCAAAATATGCGATCGGCTTTTTCACAAAGAAAAACATAAAACATATAATTTGTTGATCAGAAATGATGGCACTTTAGAGTCTGCGATATTGTAACATGCATATGTACATTAAGCATATATAAAAGGAAATACAATAGATGTTAGAACTAGCCTTTATTAAGTTAGCATTAAAAGCAATCAACTAGGTGTAGGGATCCAGTCTATTCATTATCCAGCATTATCCGGGTTCGTTCTTCCATGATAAACATGCTGAAACCAGAGTATAGGTGATGTAGTATTTCAATAACGTAATGAGATTAAAAAATATCAGGTGTTGTTAAAACGGTCGGTAGTTTTGATAAATGATAAATGTTTCAACAGCACTTTATACATGTTCATTGTTTCAACATCTAACAAGTTTCTGCCCTGCAATAAAAAAAATCAACGTTTTGTTGACAAAAAGTACTAGTTACATTTTTGACTCTTTGAGAAACAAAATAAATAGTGCTCAGCATCCTCCTTAAAATACTCACATTAAATTGTCTAGGCTTTTTGGCTGGAAATAGATCACATTTTTAATAGCTAAATTTAAATGGTTCTGTATCACCGAACGCTGTAAAGAACGAGCGCTTTGATTGGTTATACCCGCCTCAAATAATCATAAAGCAACTAACGAAATAGCTGTCTTTGGCACCCCTCTAATCGACAGGGTATCGGCCAAAATTCCTATGGCTGATAAACGTTAATGGATCGGCCGTGGGTATCAGATGATACCGTCCACACGACAAAAGCATACTTTAATATTGGGTACAATTTTATAAAAGCATCGAACGCTTAAGGTATGACCATCCTAATATGGCTCGTGGCTACGACATAGTATCTCGTTCGTACCTCTTAATTGTCTCGTTCCCACAACTTAGTAACTCGTAGCCACGACATAGTTTTTTCATGCCCACGACTTAGTACCTCGTGGCTACCACTTAATCATCTCGTTCCCATGACATAGTAACTTGTGCGCACCACTTAATTATCTCGTTCCCTGGACTTGGTAACTCGTGTCTCGTGCGCACCACTTAATTATCTCGTGCGCATTACTTAGTAACTCGTGACCACGAGATAGTATCTCATGCGCACGAGATAAAAACGCACAGATGTCATCATTGTGTCACCGTAGTATTTTAATAGGCTAGAACTACTGTTAACTACATTCAAATTAGGGCCATGAATTCAAAAATATAGGTATAAATTGGCTGAATAATTCTAAATCTGTTGACTGTTGACCATTACATTCTCTTAATGAAGCTTCAAGCGTCTGGTCTTGGTGATGACAACATAAGGTGGTTAAGGTCATATCTTTCTGAGACACAACAGCTTGTTGATGTGTCAGGTATTTGTTCTTCTACTTCAAGATAACATGTGGTGTCCCCCAGGGTTCAATCCTTGGGCCCCTCCTCTTTTTAATTTACGTCAATGACATGTTAGCGGTAGTGAAAAATAGACTGTTGTTATATGTTGATGACTCTGGAATACTTGTTTCTGGAAAAAGTTTATCTGAGGTAGAAATTTCTGTATCTGAAGATTTGTCTTCAGTAAGTCAATGGTTAATCGTTAATAAGTTATCGTTGCACTTATTTTATTGCAGTTATTCATAAGGCTAACGCCAGGTTAAAGTTCCTTTACCGTAAGCAATTTTTTCTCACACAGCATACCAAAAAACTGCTTGTCAATTCCTTAATTCGGTGTCACTTTGACTATGCCTGCTGTGTCTGGTATAATGGTTTAACCCAGGTCTTGAAAAATAAATTACAGACATCACACAATAAAATGATAAGATTTGTTCTAAACCTTGATTCCAGAGTTCATATTGGCCCTTCCCATTTTAAATCCCTTAATTGATTACCAGTTTGTAAGAGAGTTGAACAAATTATGGTATGTCATGCTTTTATGGTTAAAAACCAAATGGCCCCATAGTACTTAAGTGACTGTTTTGTTTCTCAGGTGCATTCTTATTGCACCAGACTGAGTAAAAAGGAGAGTATTGTCTTCCTAAAGTTAAAGGTTCTGGATCAAAGTCTTTTAGTTTTATTGGTGCTAAACTCTGGAACAGTCTTACAACTTGTATGACTGTAATTAACAAATTTCATCGTTTTAAGGTAGCCATCAAAAGTCAATTTTTAAGTAGCATGTAGGTCTTTTTCTTAAAATTTCTTGTAAGAAAATTTTATATGTTTTCATTTATATTTTTTTTATTGAATTATTTTTCCGCTCAGGTTTACCGTTTCATTTTTTGAAATTTGTTTTATTTATTTAATTATTTTTTTTATTAAGGCTTTAAAAACTTTCTCTTTTTTTTAATAGTGTATATGTGTGTATGGCGTGTTCTTTCCTTACATACTCATAACTGTATGATCATATTTTAGTTACTCTTAATTTACCATTTACCATGGTCCCTATGATAATAAATTCCAATAATACTTTAAACTGTGATAATTTTTAATGTAATCTTTTCTTAATATGCACGTGATTATTTTTTAATGTGATACTGACTTTTAATGAATTACATTACATCACATTTTAAATTGTGATAATTTTAAATGATACCCTTCATTAATGTGATATATCTATGTAACTATCTATGTATCTATCTATGTATCTATCTATGTATCTATGTATCTATCTAATAACAAATATGGTACCTGATATTTTCAAAGTGTAATAAAGTCAAAACTTTACGATAAAGTATTTAATATTTTACAAGATCAACCGATAAACTTTTGAAAAAAAAAAGGAGAACATATAAATCAGACATTCATTCTGGTAAATTTAAGGTATTTTTTAAATTAGGCTTTCTTGGTAGGAAAATGGTCAAACACGTGTTAAAAATGGGATGGGGTAATATTTTTTATACATATTTCATAAATTCTGAGTAGAGATAATCATTTTGCTTATGCGGATTGTAAGCTGAATGTTACATTTTGTTTCTTATCAAAATTTTATGGGAAAACATTGTTCATAAGGATGATATTGGAGATTATTTAAAGGTTCCTTATTTCTGAAAAAGGGCCCTTCTAAGACTCAATGTTAAAGTGACATTATGCCCATCCAATGGTATATAGTGAGTGAACGGGTGAAGATCAAAATAGGTTTTCATTTTGTCATTATTCCCTTCAATTTTATAATTAAGTTCACATAAACAATAAATAACTCACATATCCAAATGGAATTACATGTACTGTAAATATCCATTAGAATTTACCTATAACGCTTGGTTTATAAAAAGAGTGGGACAGTCTTTTTATATTTTAGGCAGATTTATAATTCTATCCTGAACATTTTCCACTATCAACTGTTGGTCAAACACCATTTTAACAGTCAATCTTTTGATATATAAAGTCAATTCAGCTCCACTTGACTATGAAAATATGAGCATAATGTCACTTTAAGTTCAGAAAAGTTACCATAACTCGATTTTCGTTACGGTACAGTTTGTTTAAATTTTGCATGCAGGTATCTTTAAAGTTATATATCTAAACCATGTTGCAAATTTTTCAATTCCTTATAGTACCCGTCAGGATAGTCATACCTTAAGTGAATATGCAATGCGCGCAGAGGCTGATATTATCTTTTTACCAATACGTTCATGTCATTTTAATACAACTGCATTTATATCTTTCTTTTTATATTTGTATTTTTTTACCATTTAGAATAACAGTAAATGCAATACAAATAAGAGACTGTGGCCATTTTTTATGTCAGAATAGATATTTCACTTCCTCATGCAAACTTACTTTCGTGTACCTCTAGTCACACTAAAGAAGGAAAATATTTATTCAAGTAGACGTATGTGTATCTCGTAATAAATGTCCTGTCCTTAATTTAATTTTACTTAATTAATCTGCCTGGATACTTAAGTAAAGAAAAAAATCACTTAATATAATACAAAGTTTCAATAGTTTATTTTCTCCTCAAAGTTACAACATAAAATATTACACTATGCAAATCTATATATCAGTAAAAGATAACCATTCTGTACAATGCTATAGGAGACATTCAATTCTTATCAAAATTTTAATTTTTAATAACACTTTTTACATGATAAAACTAAGATAACCCCAACTGTTCGTCAAAGAAAATAAAATAAAAACACAACACAACAACAGCAAAACACACAAAAAAAGAAAAAAGAACAACAAAAACAAGACATGTTGTTGGAAACACAAATGTTCCAAAGCAGGGTCTAGTAGAGGAGCCATGACCTTTGACTTAGTAATTTCAAGATATATCCAGGAATAATGAAATGTTCAACATATTACTGCATAGTTATTTCTAAAATCCATTCAGGAATGACAAAATTGTTGATCGGGCACGAATGTCAGTGCATTTTCATCAAATAATTTCTTTGAATGTGTGACATTGACTTGTGATGTAAATCTCTAGATCTTGCTCGCGGTGAAAATTATTGGAGGTTACAGTGAAGATTATGAAAGGGAAAATGTTGTGAGTTTTAAATGACAAATACATATTCCTTTTTATTGAAAATATATGAGTCAATCACTGATATAATGGAATAGATAAATAAAGCCATTTAGTCATCCACATACTACATAAAAATGAAAAATTACTAAAAAAACATGTTATTTAATTAAACGTTACTAAAATAAGTGAAGTAAAATTTAAAACAGTTAAAAGGGAAGAAAAAATCACGGCAAAAGATAAAATACATATTCATTTTGATATTCAAAAAACAAGAAAGCAGAAATGAAGTCTAACAAGAGCTGTTCCAGAAGCAGCCCGCTCCATTTTTCTAAGTACTTGTTAGTATGATGAAAGCAAAGTAGAAAAAAGGGCATAATTCTGTTTGGCAAACATTTTCGCTTGATATTCAACAAGTATTTAAAGTGTGACGTGAATATCTGTGATGATGGAATAGGATGAATATTTGAAAATATAAAAGGATGAAAAGGGTGATAATTTAGCAAAAAATGCTATTCAGTGTTATCTACCCTATAGAAAATACACCTTGATTTTTAAAGTGAGCAAGTGAATAGCGTTGGTAAATTCTTAGACAACTGGCCTTAACCTATTACATTTTAAAGGTCATAATGACCTTGGCCTTTGATCTTTCGACCTAAAAACAATGTTGATCTTTCAAGTTTTATACCTCAAAATTATGTGACAAGTAGAACTAATTAAATTGTATCTACTTATGAAGTTTCAATGTTATAGACTTATATTTTTTAATTAATGACCTTAAACGGAAGCCAAACCAAAAATAATAATCAACGCCAACAATACCTCCAAAATATATATTCTTAAAAAAAATGGAGCCAAAAATGGGAGATGCCGCGAAAGCAAAGTAAACATATTAATATGTGAAGGTCACTTGCAATCTATTACATTAAAAAGTTTCATTCAATCTGTTCCTTACAAATAATTAAAATTGCAACCTCTCTCCATTACTGTCTTAACCAATATTTAAGATTCAACAAAAAAAATACATGCAATTTTTTAAATAGCAAATCCATCTTGACAGATCATAATTACAACAATTGATAAAAAAAGGTTTTACAGATGTACTAAGTAGCACTGAATTTGCGTGTAAAACATAAAGATTTAATCAAGTGGCTGATTACAGAGAAGAATTTCAAAAAAAAAACAATTATAGCAATATATTACATTAAGCCGTCACATTTTAAGGCTACAGTATAAATATAATTTTCATGTTTAATCATTTTTAGTAAAAACAAATGGTTTTTGGACATAAAACGTAAGATCTGTTCTGTCGTCTTCGTTTTCAACAAAGATCAAATCGATGTCGTCGATGTGTTCGATGTTTGGTGTCTCTGTATTCTGTTCAGGGAAAAATTTCGTGCTTTCGTCTGGACCATCATTATTTTTATCTATATCTGAGTCGGCAGCAGTTGGACTTCCACTATTAGCAACCGAATCATCACTTTGTTTAGATGAATCACCATCGATACAATTTGTATTGGATATTTGGTCTGGGTCAGGTTTCAAACAAATGTCAACAAAATTCCATCTTTCAGAATACTCCTGTACTGCATTTTCAAACAAATATTGCCATTGGAGGTCTGAACTGTCAACACTTGGAGTCTCATGAGATCTAAAAAGGATTCGTCGCAAAAACAATGGTATGAGACCACTTCCTAAAGCAGCTATCGTCTGCCCACCAGTAGATATATTTTGCACTTTACCAAACGCCATTATGATAACAAAAACAAACGCAAGGAAAATGACAATTAAAGAAAAATCAAAAGCAGCTTTAAAGTAGAGCATATGAACTGACCCAGGACATAGATTATGAGGTAAATTTGCCATTTTGAAAAGAAATGACTTTGGTATAAAGATAAAGTCTGATTTATCCATAAAAAGCACAAGTCGTGGAATATTTAACTTCAAAAACCCTTCCGATCCAAGTGAGAATAGGTTTCTTCTTGTATTTTCTTGTGACCTAGTATTATGTTCAACAGGTTTTCGCATAAATGGAAACAATATATTTTCTGTTTTCTTTGGTTTCCGACCTTTCAGAGTATATTTTTTCATGTTTTCTGCTTGCCGATTTTTTCCTGGTATAGTAAATACAGTATTTTCCTGTTCTGCTTCTGATAAAGATGCTACATTTTGTAGACTTTCTCCAACCATAGTTTTTAATTTTGCAATAACAGTATTGTTGTAAGACACATACCGATTGTAGACGCCCTTAAAGCATTCATGCCCGTAGAGAACCACAAGAAAGATCAAAGAGGCATATTTAAGTGACACATATGGATTCAGTATAAAACCAACTAATATGTATATTGACAATTCAACATAAAAAGACAAACATTCCATAACAAGTACAAGGGAAAGCAATAGAATCAAAACTACTATGAAAACAAGCAATATCCCACTGCATAATTTATTTCCCGGCTGGTTAGATGTGTTCTTATTTTCTGGCTCCTTGAAATTAATGATAATTTGTCCGATAAGACTGAAAGTTGGAATTAATTCAATTGAAAGTGGTATGCATATTACGACAAACCAAAACGGAAAAATTAAGAGACCAGCTATACCTGTTTTATTTAAGAGCCATACTGATTTTCCAATATATGTACTACATAGTTCACTTTTATTTGTAAGTCGCATGTCGCGAATACTCTTACGTAAGATGTATTTTATGTCTTCTTTTGTTTTTTCTAGAATTACACATTTGTAGAAGAAAATAACCGCCGATAATATTAAGGAGTATATGATGATTACTATAAACCACAAATCTGAAGACAACGCATATGTTATAGGATATTCCAATTTATCTCTGATAGCTGTATACATGCTTAAATTTCGCCCTTTCATCAGTTCCATTTGTTCTCGTACAGATGTCCGCTCAATTAAGAAATAGCTCAATAGCCTTAATTCAAATGGTAAAAACAAAACAAGGACCATAATAAATACCATAAAACCCTGCATGCACTTATTCCAAGAAAGGTTACAATTACAGCAACGCGGAAAAACATCCCCTTTGCAATAGTCATCTCCTTTGTTTATTACATGGCGTAACTTACAGCGTCCAATGAAATTACTCAAAAACCCCAAAACACTCACTGGGGCACACCCTTCTCCTATTATATTACTATTTCGCACAGAAATAAGAATTTCTTCAATACCAAACGTATATTTCTTATTTACTTCTGTAACCTTTTCTTTGACTTGTTTTTTAAATTGTGCCATACTTGTAAATGACTGTATCTTGGCTTTCACAAACCTTTCCGCCTTTACACCCTCTATACCTGTCATCTTCATAATATTTATTTTGTAATCTTCATTCCCCGTCATATCGTATACATGATAATCGTGATATACATTTTTGGCTTCATAAACATAGTAAGGAATAAAAAGTGGAAAGCAGAAAATGCTGATCCATTTAAGAATCGAAATAGACAGAAATAAGATCCGCATGAGATTGCTCTTTTCGATAACAGAACATTCTTGATTCTTTGAGTATTTCTCGTGACAACACACATAAACAGTTTGACCGACATTTCCATGCGTTTTCACATGTCTGTTGCAAATTTCAGCCTCATCAAGTAATAATTGTCCTTTTGGTTCAAAATTCCTTAGGAATAAATGTCTAAGGCTATTTTCAATTTCTTCATAGGATTTGTCTTTCAGACAGTCGGCTGGACTTTGACCCAATGTTAAGTCCGCATCCACAACGCCTAGACCAAGTGCCTTTATCGATATTGTAATAAAATATTCTTTTAGCAAAAGCATCCTTTGACCAGTAACGCTTGTTATGATAGTCCAGTCATATGGTCGGAACATGTGGCCGCTTTTTTTTATTTGACTAAATGGTCCGTTACTTCCCTCAAATTCAATCGATATTTTAACAAGAGCGTAACCTCCGTTCACAAGTTCAGCAATATTTTCCTTTTCATCCAAATATTTTGGATATAGTGAGCAGTTTGTCATTGTCGTCAGCATATTTGTATTAGTATCTCCATTATTTTTACTTTCTAACGCAAGTGAAACATTTCCGACAGAATAAGAAAAACAACCACATGAGAAGAAACATTCTATAAGATAGAACATAGTTATTACAGCCTGAATACTATTATTAAACATATTTACTCTAGGGCTGTTGTTTGTTTAACTCCAGTTTTTATATAGTTTAACTTTGATAATCCTTTGTAATTTTAATAGTTGATTTATGTTCCTTTTTGATTAATTGATCACTTCAAAATTATGGTTCCGAGAACATACATTAAAACCAAAAGGAACAAAATTTACCACTTATGACTTAATTCCTCGCGTTACTCTTGTAATATACTTCAAATGTAAATTCTTTCTACCAAATAGAAATAAATCAATGTGCATAATGTGCACAAAAAGAAAATATCTTTACAAATCTATAATATCAAATTTTGATCTTTTAAAATAAAGTGGTGCACTTGGTATATGTAATATGATACTGTTTGTTATGTCACACTAACTTGTTTCAACTTGAATGAAACCGGGAAAAATAAAGACACGTGCTGCCTTTACAATGAATAGTCTCATTTCTTAAAGTCAAATGTTTACAAAGTCGTATTTTAACTCCATACAAAATACTAAAATCATTGTTATTGTTTTTACAGAAGAAGAAAATAGGTTTCGCTTTATTGCCAGCGAGTACTTATTTTCGTAATTTGCAACAGGACACCAAAAAAGCATTTTAGGCTGAATAAGAGTAAAATCTATAAAAACTAGAACTGTGTCCAAAGGACACGGTTGCCCCCGCTGACAACACATATATGGTATATAGTGAAAAAATCAACAAAGGGCCATAATTCTATTAAATTTGGTCGCAGCAAAAATGTCTTCCTTTACTTCAATCTACACATTAAGGTTGTTCATCCCTGCAAGTTTAAGCAAAATCTGCCATCTGGTTTAAGAGGAGTTGCGTCACAAAATTTCTATATGGTATATAGTGAAAAAATCAACAAAGGGCCATAATTCTGTTAAATTTGGTCGCAGCAAAAATTCCTTCCTTAACTACCATCTACACATTAAGGTTGTTCATCCCTGCAAGATTAAGCAAAATCTGCCACCCAGTTTTAGAGGAGTTGCGTTCACAAAATTTCTACATAGTATATAGTGAAAATATCAACAAAGGGCCATAATTCTGTTAAATTTGGTCGCAGCGAAAATTCCTTCCTTTACTACCATCTACACATTAAGGTTGTTCATCCTTGGAAGTTTAAGCAAAATCTGCCATCCGGTTTAAGAGGAGTTGCGTTCACAAGATTTCGGGACGTACGGACGGACAGACGTACGGAAGGACGGACGGACAGACGGACGGACAAGTGCAACGCTATATGCTCCCACTTTGTGGGAGCATAAAAATACCACAACATTTCAAACAGAGAATATAACAGGTATATTTGAATTCAATGCGCTACAATAAATAAAACTGAAGTAGGGAACCATGTTTAGTCGAAATATGCCCTGATTCATGAGCAGACAATGCAAGCAAATATGTGTAGTTAATTCAAATATAAATTCACCCCTGATATTGCTAAATCGTTTAAAACTCGATAAATCAGGACTCCCTATAAGTCTGCTGCAACAATTACATCTCACTGCAATGACGGATATTCGTCGTGATGTTTTTTGTTGTTGCTGTTGTTATTGTTGTTATTGTTTTTTTTTTGTTGTTGTTGTTTTTTTTTTTTTTTTTTTGCTTGTTTTTTTTTTTTTTTTTGGCTGTAAAGTAGTTAAGTGTTAAAGGATATTGTTTTCCCGCCTTAATTGCGAATTATGACAACGATCCTTTTATCATCCACATGTGCCGCTTTTGCGTCTTTGTAAAAAGTTATTGCATGGCCGTCCATATAATTTAACGTGACGTCATTTAAATTATAAAAACATTACATTATATACGCGCTAAATATATGCGTTACCATGTAAGCGCGTCAATAAAAAGTGAGTGATTCTTTTTTACTGTAAATAGTTCTCATTTGCATATAAGATAAATAAAATATTTTATTCGTGTATTTTGACACAAGAAACATCCGGTTAACAAAGTGTGATTATTTCCCCCCCCCCCCCCACCCCTGCCCGACAAAAAATGCAATCACAGAAAATGGGAATGATATGTTCGGTCTTTGTGGACAATTTGATCCAATTTAATTGTTCTGTTAAATACAGAGGTGCTCTGTCAATGAGCAACAGCTACTAATGAAAGAAAGTATCTTGAATTCAATCCTTGCTTTCACCGGCAACCAATGTAAGCCTTGCAATGTAGGTCGAAATTTCGAGTTAATGAGTCAAATTTCGGGTTAATAAGTCGAAATTTCGAGTCACGTAAGTCAAAATCTCGAGTTACTTAGTCGAAATTTCGAGTTTATAATTCGAAATTTCGAGTCAGTAAGTCGAAATTTCGAGTTAGTAAGTCAAAAATTCGAGTAAGTTACTCGAAATTCCGAGTTAGTAACTCGAAATTTCGAGTTGATAAAAACACACACATGGCACTTATGCTCTTCCGTACAATATTTATTTAATTATACTGTACGAGCCTTAAGATCTATATGTAGTTAATATCCTCTATTACTTAAGCAGGGAAGGATACATAGTGGTACAGGTTTCTACCTTTCGTCACATGAATAATAACATGATAGCTGTTAGGTTCTCTTCTTTCTAAAAACTCTACCTAAATGAAACTGAAAGTTTTATGTCTTCGCCACAGCTTAATTCTAGGTTTATCTACATACCTCAATACACCGTAATCTCGAGGATCTCGATTTAACCCTTTCACTGCTAAAACTGGGTTAGCACCAGCTAAGAGCCAAGCCTGTTTGCATCTCCATGCAGTCTGAACAAGCTCTCTTCTTTTGGCTGACTTACATAATTTTCATCTTGATTTCCGAATATGATAATGGAAAAGCACAGTTTTGACCCACTCCCTTTTAAACAATCAATAGATAAAAGTTTAAAACCGGTGCTAGTGATACCCATTGGGTTAAATCACCTTTGAATCATTCATCAAAGAAAAGCTAAAGTATATTTTTTTGAGTATTTTTTAACCAATTAAAAGATATTGTGCCTTTTTGTCCCCCGCCTTTTCGAAGAAAAAAGGGGGATATAGAAATAGGCTCCGTCCGTCCGTCCGTCTATCCGCACAAACATTTTAGGTATATGAGCTAACTAACGGTACACTTGGACAAAAGAGAACAAAGGACTTCATTCTGTAAATAATAGTTAGCTCATAAGGAAATAATAGTTAGCCCGTAAGGAAACAAAAAAAGAACAATGGAAATAGCTCATAAACATGAAAAATTGGTACATCCGTCCGTCTGTCCATCCGTCCGTCCTTCCGTCACACTTTCGTGTCCGGTCCATAACTTTGTCGTTTATCAAAGGAATTTGAAACAAATATTTGTTATAAATATTTGTTATAATAAGACGATGTGTCATACGCAACAACCAGACCCCTACCTCCATGGTCAAGGTCGCAGGTCACCATTTTCTATTTGAGGGTATATGTCGTGTCCGGTCCATAATTTTCTTATCTTTGAATGGATTTTGTAAATACTTGCCACAATTGTTCACAATAATCAGACGATGTGTCATGCGCAACAACCAGTCACCTACCTTCAAGGTCAAGGTCACACTTTGAGGTCAAATATTAACATAGTCTGTTACAGGGTATATTTCGTGTCCGGTCCATAACTTTGTCATTTATCAAAGGAATTTGAAATTACTTGGCACAAATGTTTGTTATAATAAGACGATGTGTCATGCGCAACAACCAGACCCTTACCTTCATGGTCAAGGTCGTACTTGCTCATTAAAGGTTAACATTGTCTATTTGAGGGTATATGTTGTGTCCGGTCCATAACTTTCTTATCTATGAAGGGATTTTGTAAATACTTGCCATAATTGTTCACAATAATCAGATGATGTGTCATGCGCAACAACCAGTCACCTACCTTCAAGGTCAAGGTCACACGTGGAGGTCAAAAATTAACATAGTCTGTTACAGGGTATATTTGGTGTCCGGTCCATAACTTTGTCATTTATCAAAGGAATTTGAGATAACTTGGCACAAATGTTTGTTATAATAAGACGATGTGTCATGCGCAACAACCAGACCCGTACCTTCAGGGTCAAGGTCGTACTTGCTCATTCAAGGTCAACATTGTGTATTTGAGGGTATATGTCGTGTCCGGTCCATAACTTTCTTATCTATGAAGGACTTTTGCCATAATTGTTCACAATAATCAGATGATGTGTCATGCGCAAAAACCGGTCACATACCTCTAAGGTCAAGGTCACACTTGGGTCAAATACTTACATAGTCTGTAACAGGGTATATTTTGTGTCCGGTCTATAACTTTTTCATAGATCAAAGGATTTTGAAAATACTTCGCACAAATAGTCACTATTATAAGAGGATGTGTCATGCGCAACACCTGCATCCCTACCTCCAAGGTCAAGGTCACACTTAGAGGTCAAAAATTAACATAGTCTGTTATAGGGTATATTTTGTGTCGAATCTAGAACTACTTCATAGTTCAAGGGATTTTGAAATAACTTGGCACAAATAGTCACAATAATAAGCCGATATGTCAGGTACAACACCAGCACCCCTACCTCTTAAGGTCAAGGTCACACTTAGAGGTCAAAGGTTAACAGAGTCTGTTATTTGGTATATTTTTGTCACGTCCATTACTTCTTCATAGATTAAGGGATTTTGAAAATACTTGGCACAAATAGTCACAATGATTAGATGATATGTCATGTTTAACATCTGTGTCCCTACCTCCAAGGTCAAGGTCACACTTAGAGGTCAAAGATTTACATAGTCTGTTATAGGGTATATTTTGTGTCCAATCTATAAGTTCTTCATAGTTCAGGGGATTTTGAAAATACTTGGCACAAATAGTCTCAATAATAAGATGTTATGTCATGCACAACACCTGCTCCCCTACCTCCAAGGTCAATGTCACACTTAGAGGTCAAAGCTTAACATGATAGATTTTTAAATTCCGTGTTTCATTTTATTTTTTTTAACAAATTTATTGTTACATTTGCAGATCTAGCATTGATCATAATTTTGGACTGAATGTCCTGAAATCCATACCTCAATCTTTTGAAATAGCACAATTTTATGCTTCATATAAAACTCCCGGGGCGGGGGACGTTGGTAACTCTGTTACAAATTCTTGTTTATAAAGGCAAGGGCTAAAGACATAAACGATCCGCTTGATACATGTTTAATATTTAAGTGTTGATATGTCTATCAATAACTGAAATGGTTTGCATATGCTAACAAAACAAACTATATTTTAAAAATTTATTTTAACTTTAATATAACAAGGAAGTGGTACTAGAGGTAGTATAGACCAAGATATAATATAGTGTGAACTGTGAGGATTTAAGTAAAAAGCGGATTACGAGTAACACGGCATTTTGATCATTTACTTCTTCGTGTAAAAATGGTCAGCTTGTAATGTACCGTTGGTATTTCTGTCAGCATCTCGATGTTTTGCAAAGCATTCATAAATCTTTTACGATACACTCCATTACTCTTCTTATTTCCTTTCTTGTGCTATTCAATCGCTCGATGACAACTTTTGCATTTAAAAAAGCACCATCTTTAATCAAGTCAAAAATGGTCTTGGCACAGGTGGACATTATCATTGCCCGTCGATGTAACAATGCGTTTGCTTCATGGTCTTCGCCAGTTTCTTCATTCAAAGAGAAGACTGTGTTTTCAATAATGCTACTCGTTTCTTTATACATGTTTACAATGTGTGTCATATAGTTTGTTGCTCTCTCCGACTCTCGTATAAATGACGCATCATCGCCTGCAAAATCTATATTTACGTAGGTACCTTTTCTCTCCTCCCGCAAAATGAAGTGATTAATCCGATTCGCGAGAAGCTTGGAACTAGCCTGAATTTTTGCAAGCCTGTAAGGATGTTGATTTAAGCGATGTTTCATTGCAAGTTTGTACCATTTTGTCCTCTTATTTAAAGAGAAAGTGTTATTCTGTGTCGTCGATAATGCAGCAATGTAGCTATCGCGTGATTTTGTACTTGCGGTAGTGTTTTCTCGAAATTGGTGGAAAGGCATTTTTCTAGCATGCCAAAGGTAAGAGCATCGGAAACAAAGGACACTTCCACAAGGACAGTCTATGGTCATACATCTATCGTAATGTTTGACGACTTTGAAACATACGAGACAATACTTGACATCAAACTTGATTACGAATTCGTTGGGAGAAATATTTTTGTCGCGCGTTTCTAATAAGATCTGAACATAGTCTAAATACTTCCTACACGGTAGAGGCCAATGCGGAGTCCCGAGACACACAAAGCAAAGCAATTCCCCACAATGACATCTAACTAATTTTGAACGCGATGCATTTACTATAATAACCCGTCCACACGTTTCGTTTGTGCACCACTTAGCTAATTTATTTTTCTCTACTGTATTATTATGATATCGTCTCGCAAACGCCAAAATTTCCTTTACACTTAGGAATGACATAATTGTACCAATATCTACTTGTTTACTGCAATCTTCCTGAGGGCAATATATCAAATATGAACCCAGTTCAATTTTTTCATGAATATATGCTTCCCAACATGCATTGCAAAAGACGTGGAAACATGACAGTAACGCAATCATAGCATTTTTGTTTTTGTAACAAATGCTGCAAATTCTTTTCTTTGACTGATCACCCTTCTCATGTATGACTGATTCCTTTTCTTCGGAAATGGACATAGAAGATTCCATTACATGTTTCAAGACGTAGAAATTATCAGGAATGTATGTCCAACATGACCAGCGTTTCATTTCTGCAAGTAAACTATCGGATTTAACAATTGGACGATATTTTGTTACGTTTGGCTTCTTTTCAAATATCATGGATTCTCGTGGAAGATTTTTGAGATAGTTGATTGTTTTTTCAATAACAGTGGCAATCGATACCGTGGTGCCCTCAACAAGGCCTTCTATCCTTACCCGTGTTATATGTTCAGTAAAATTTGCATTAAGACTCACATTAAATGCTTTTTCAGTTACACTGTTGAGCTTGTTCATTGGATCATGTGCAAAAATTAGCCAAGATAACAAGATTTTATTCATTATTCGAAGAAGCTTGTATGCTGAACCTATACCTTCGAGATCAAGATCTTGTATGTATTTTGAAATGTTTATGACAAATCGTCGCGGACTACTGTTGCACTCTAAAACGTCATCTCCATATTGACGGTGTAGTTCACTGACATCGATTTCTTCCTGTCTAAGAAGAACACATACTGGTAACAAAACAATTTTTCTTGGAAAGAAAGTTGACTCTTCTTCATCGTCATAGTCTAATTGTGTCTCAGATTTTGATATACTTCTTTTTTCTTCTGGTAAAAGCAAATTGTTAGGCAATGCCCTTTCATTATCATTGTTAAAATAACGTTTGCAATTTGTATTATCTTTAGCCAAGTTGACACTTATTGGTTCATTTGCAGACAAGAGTTTTGTTTCTGTTTGCAGTGGAGCTTTAGCAGCATTATTCTTAATTTCTTTTAGAAGTCGACTATTGACATTCTTATTCTCTTCAACTACATTGTATTTTTTGTAGTTATCACGTTCAAGACTGTAATCTTCAAGCCCTTCTCTGATTTCATCATATATATCATCTCTTTTATCTTTGGCTCGACTTCTTTTAAACTGGTAGCCCTGAAGGGTCCATGGTCTACGGTTATAATTGCGGCATTTGAAAATCTTTTTCGTATCGTTTCCAATTTGCTTTGGCTTTTTAGTAAGAACGTTTGTCAGTTCACATGGATAAAATACCTCATAGCGAACTCGGGGGTATTCATCTTTCACGTCCTTAGTACAACTATCGTCTTCCTGTTTAATAGTGGAGTCTTCGTCTTTTTTAGATACTGTTTTATAAATTTCTGTTCCAATATCATCTTCATCAGGGTATGAGCTTTGAAATAGGTGTAGAAAAACCAGTCTATTAAAGTGTCTAGAATAGATAGACTGGGTTTTCAAAATATTGTCTGCATCAACATAGTAATTGTTTGGGATTATATGTGTAGGTGTGCGAATCGTTTCATCTTCATCTGAGGTGATATAAGATTTAAATATTCTACGACAGTTGGAATTTTTCAGAAGCTTATGTCTCTCAACTAATTCAAAATTGATAGGACCAAATTCCACATCTGCATGCTCGTCTTTTAAAAGTTCTGGTAGCAACCATCGTTTCTTCTTATTCAAAGAAAAGAACAAATCAGTACAGGATATATCAGCCAATTCTATGACGTCAGTTGAGCCTTCAGTGTGATCATTGAACGTTAGCGTTGCCTCCCTTTGAATAATCTGCGCATCTTTCCTGAAATATTATTTAAATTCATTTTGTTTTTAATTAAAATGACAAAAAGCGAACAGTTGCATCCTGTACAGGTGAAAATTTTACAGTTGAAAGAATAATGTATGCATAAACACTGCATGAAAATGTTAATCAGTGGCTAAGCCTTTTTACCCTACTTAAGATGGAAATTGATTTGAAAAACAAATGCAATCATTTCCAGTGTAAGTAATATGTACAAGCCATTTACAATTGTATAGCAAATATTATTACCCTCACTCTTTTGTAATGTTCATTTCCCTGGGAGTTATTCTTACTGTTAAAGAAAGTTTATCACGTGACTAAGAAATTCATACTGTTACAGGGTAACAGCACTTTTTAACAGTATAAAAATCTGGTCACATATCTATTTTTTTCCTTTAAAAAGTAATACTAAAGATTACAGTATTTGTTCGTGGTAATAAAATAAATAACACATGGGTTTGTGAGAAACAGTAAAAATATCATCCCTTGTAAAAATACTGTTACCCTCGGGTAACAGTATTTTCCTCAGGATGATATTTTCACTGTTACACACAAACCCATGTGTTATTTATAGAATGTTAACTTACAGAATAGTAACTTAGGATCGGGTCTATATCACTTTATATACATGTATATATCTTAAACAAATCCTTTATGTTTAGTTTGACTTTGAATACTTATATTTTATTGTTATTGTATTATGCACTTTAATATTCAGTGTTTGCAGTTAAAATAGGCATTTAATAATCCGGTTAATATGAACAACATTCCTAACTTATATTGTCATTATAATGATCGTTTAAGCATTTTGCATTAGTTTTTATTAATATTAAATAAAATCATTAAATTTCCAAAAGTAACACATATAGCTAGATAAAATAATGGAAAAATCGATTTTGAATGAAAACAGAAATATTGAAATAACAATTACCTGTAACGTCTGACGTATTTTGTATTGACAGCTCTAATTGTATTTCCTGTTCTTATACCGTGTTTTCCTTTCTTCTGTACCATTCTTTGTTTCACTTGCAACTTTCATTTCTGATCATCCGCCATCAGTTAGAATATCTTATATACAACACTGGTCTATTTTTTATTTACCTTCGATACGGTGGATGTATATGGATCGATATTGCTCTCGTTAGTTCCCAATAACTAACTATATATACATTATTTATAACTCCAAGGTTGCTTTATCAATGACACGGAAAAGTTTTTATACATGTTAAGCTGTTCACCGGACCGTGTACATGTACTATAAAATGGATTGATCGGATTTTTCTTTTAACTTTTAAACGCATAATTGCAAAATATGTTTAAACGAGTTCTATAAATAAATCTATTTAATATTTCGTCTAAATTAATCCATTTAATCTAGTATTCTCTCTGTATTAGATAAGTCGCTGAATTACTTAATTGTATTTAACTTGTTATTATTCAAGAGACATATTATAATTTATTGTCTTATTGTTGGCTATTAAAGCATCTCGATAAGTCGTTATTCAAATAGTTAACAGTTCTTTAGTTAAGCATACATGTTGATTAAAAGTTAATATGTAATTTTCATCAGATATATTTGGACAACCTTTACTCATTTACCGAGTTTGTCATTTCAAGCGAGTAAAAGGCGCGGGAATATTCGGCATTATTCGGCATTTTTCGACACCCATAAACATCAAAAATGAGTCAACGTGACATAATTATATCAACGAAATTTTCGTCATTATTTTTAGCCAAGAAATTTTCCCAGTATATATCTAAATTATTAAGAAAGCCAAATTGAACGAGCTACCGAAAAATTGAATATCTTAATTGTTTTGGATTTTCAATGAAACACAAGTTATTCCAATATTGTTAAATGTTGTAAAATTGTGTGTAAGTATTTCAATATTTTCGATTTGATGTGATTTAATTTGCGCTGAGCTCAGTTAAGATGAGCTTCGATGAGTTGCAGTGAGTTGGTATTGTGACATGGCATGCCATACTATGTCACGCTATACAATGCCACGCTATGCCACGCTATGCTATGCTATGCTATGCTGTACTGTGCTGTGCTGTGCTGTATGCATGCTATGCCATGCCCTATGCTATACTACGCTACGCTATTGCCACGCTATGCTATGCTATGCTATGCTGTACTGTGCTGTGCTGTGCTGTATGCATGCTATGCCATGCCCTACGCTATGCTATGTTATGCTATAGTTCTATGCTATGCTATGCTATATTACTATGCTATGCTATAGTACTATGCTATGCTATTCTATGCTATGCTATGATATGCTAACGTGTTCTATTGTCCCATATATTTTGCTATTCTTCCGTCTTTTTTTGTGTCTTTTTTCTTTTCTTTTTGTATTTTGTAACTAATTTTAAGCCTAAAACATTTCCTCAATTTGTTGTTTGGTAAGTCATTGCATCACTTAGAAACAATCTTTTATCTTTCATATTTATTGAGAGTAATTTAGCGAATAATATAAAAAGTTATTGCTTTTACAAGGTGAGTGTCTTACGGAGGGTAGGTGAAAATAAAGATATGAAAACTTTAAAAGAGAGTTCACCATAACTGTCTTATATCTTATTATATTATTGAATATTATACTTAATGTCAATATTGAAAATGGAGATAAAGAACTTTCGCAAACAGAAGTTTTAGATAGGCAATTTCAAAAAAGAGGGTAATCTAAAAATAATTTGTATCGGTGCGTTTACAATAGGTAGTGACCAATTTAACCACGATGGGTTTTTTGTATATCTTTTTTGTTTAGTTTTGAATTCTTTTCAACTTTAATATCATTTTAATCATTTAATTAATAATTCTTATCATTTTCTTTTGCTTCTGCTTTATATATATTATTCAACCTTTAGTTGTTGTTGTTTTTTACCAATAAGTTTTTAACAATATTTAGAAATACATGTAGTTTCTAATTATACATTCAAACCATGGTTCCATTATAAGCTTGTGTAGCGAGGGAAAATTGATAAAAATTGAATAACCAGGTACATTTACATGTTATCAAAAATTGCAAAACATGTTAACTTTAAAGTTAAAACTAACTTTCCTGTCTAATAAAAACAAAGTCGCATATTTTCAAGTCCACATCAAAACAAATATGAAGCCTAATATTGTCTTTTATATATATATTTCTCCACATTTTTAGTTTTGAAACTCCCTTACTTATTATTTCTTTGCCAGGATTATTATGAAGGTAAACAACTCTTACAAGTGTTATGCTTCAAACTCCGCGCAGCGGTTACGCAACGGACAGTAACCTGTAAGGGGAGATCACTGGTTGGTAAATATTTAATTCATTTTTAAAAAGTTACTTCCCTTTAATCTTATTTTACAGACCTAAGGGAGGTTACTAGCATGTAGCACTTTTCGGGTCTAACTCTATAATTTATGCATTTATAATGTAGAATTAACGAAGAAAGTGCACTTTGTAGACGTAATAAATCATGAAAATAGACAAATTAAACTCTTTAAAATTCATTTAATAAATCAATACAATCCAAACATTTACAGAAGAATAAAATGAATAAAATTAAATAAGTTTAAATCTAAATTCAAAATAACAAAGACCAAAATGAAATATATCAAAACCATAATTTAATTCGTGCAATTAAATGTATTTAAAATAAATTTGTGTAATATATAAAGTTCAATTTTATCTATTCCATTGAATCTTGACTTTGCTATGGGATTTGTCCTTGAAAACATGCTCGGTGTTTTGTTAAACAATATTGATAAAAAGAAGAGATCTAAAAAGAAAAAAAAGAAAAATGTAAAATGTGCATTAAAACATTGTTCGACAATGAAATGCATAAACAGATCTCGTCTGATAGTAATAAAAGACCATAGTTCAGGTATGATTATAAATAGAAACAAAAGATAACTGTTCAGGCATAACTTTTTATGTTTGGTGGATTTATTCTGATTTGATTTTTTTTCTTTTTTTGTCGTTATTATTCGCTATTGAGAAACGTTTTTAACAACGGTGGGAATGTGACGATTTAAAAGATTATGATATTATGCAGTTAACGGTGCATTTGATATTTTGCCTGTTATATTGGTGCATGTTGACGGGGTTTGTTTTATTTACTGTAGATATATAATTTAACATTTTAGACATATCATTCAACATATTTCTTCTTCTTCTGTAATATAAAGTAATCATTATGCAATAAAGCCTAAAATGTTTGCAAAAATATTCTGATCCTCAAATTAAACAAATACAATGAGGCTGCAAAATGATATTTGAACGATTTTGATTTTACATGTACATTTGAAATTGTTAAAAAGATATATTACAAATAAAAACTTTTAAATACTTTCAGAATATTCATCCATCTTATAAAAGAACAGTCACTTATACTGGTACATGTGCACTATAACATCAGGAACGAAATCAAAATGTGTAATTAACAAAACGTCAAATTTAACATATACAAATCTTCCTTAGATAATTTAGCAATCAAGTAAGCTTTTAACTACAGAGGTACAATGCATTTTACATTATTATATAATAGGTAAAATATGCATTGCAATATTGTGAAAAGGTTCCAAACTAACAGTTATATCTTGTTCATACAATTGATTCGTCATCTGGTAGTTTTTCACCAATGATGATTTCCGCATCACTTATTGCATCTTGCACAGAGTTGTCAGGTACATAGAAACATAATGTCTCTTTCCCTTCTCTGTCCAAACCAGATTTTACTATAAGGTCGATATGGCCGCGAATATTTTCCTCTGTGAGTGCGTGTGTCCTTTCGATTAAAACTTTCGAATTGTCATTCGTGCCAATTGATTCAGTTACAGTTTCTATATCGAAATCTGTACGAGTATCTCCACTTGGCGCGTCAGTTTTTGCTATTAAGTCGGCTTCTTCAACATGAGTCACGTGGATATCAGTAAAATTCCATCGCGTTGAGAACTTTTGAACTGCATTTACAAACATATATTTCCATTTTAAATTCGATTTATCGATACTTGAGTTACCATGCGTTTGAAACAAGAATTTCCGGAGGACTAGCGGAAGAAATCCACTACCTAACGCCGCCACTGTTTGTCCCCCGGATGATATGTCCTGTGCCTGGCCAAAGGCAAAAATGACAATAAAAACAAACATGAGAAACCCAAGTATGAGACAGAAGTCCAGAAGAGCTTTTAGGTATAGTAAATGAAGGATTCCTGGGCAGAAATGATGATTTAACTTTGCCATTTCGAATAAGAATATCTTTGGGATATAAGGAATATCAGCTTTATCTAAAAACATGATAAGACGTGGGGCCCGCCATTTAAGATAGCCTTCAGACCCCGGTTCTAGATGCATTCTCTCTGTAACTATATCAGGATTAGGAACTCTAAACGCTACGTTCTCTTGTTCACTTTCAGGTTTGGCCGCCTGTTCGGTAATCTTATCACCTATCATGGACTGTATTTCAGAATTGATTGCTTTACTATATGCCGCAAATTTATTATGAACTCCGCTGAAGCATTCGTTGCCGTAAACAGCTATCAGCAGAATGAGGGAGACATATTTCATCGTGTCACCTGGATTTAAGATAAACCCAACTAATGAATAAACCGCGCATTCAACATAAAAAGATATACAGTCAATAACGATAAATAGAACTACCCACATCGTTGCGAAACTCAGTATCAGCGAAACTGCTTGAATGATCTGATTTCGCCTTTTGTTAGTGTCTTCGTAATCTATGACCAGAATTGAATCAATTCTATTTTGAGCCCAATTCTTTACCGTTCCTTCCGATTTTTTCTTAAGTCCATCAAAAATATCGGGTTTTATCGTTTTAAAAGTGTAATATAGAGCATTAACAAGAAGTCGTATCGACAAATTTGCAATAGGCAAAACTTCAAGAGATAGCAATAGCAGACAAAAGGGTAAAACTAAAAGCCAAAGTGGAAGCACTATGCAACCCAAAACTCCAAACTTTTGTAGCGGCCAGAGCATATGACTTGCAAAGAAACCGCAAGCCTCAAGCTTCGGAGTATTATTCATACCACGTACGCATGCGCGGACAGTTCGTTTTAATTTCCGCTTTACTTTATCAGGCATGACAATATAAAGAGCAAATTCTATGAGGATGAATACATACATTATGACGTAGATGATGTGGGAAGGTGACAGGTAAGATAGCATACTGCCTGGATAAGGATATGTGAGATTTCTGTTTTGTAACACGTACT